TCTACCACTTGAGCCACAGCGCCACTTCTGGCTTTTTTCTTTTTGCTTATGTGGTGCTGAGGAATCGAACCCAGGGCCTCATGCATGCAGTGCAAGCGCTCTACCACTGAGCCACCTTCCCAGCCCGTGACAATCTCTTATACAGAAGCACTTCATGAATTTTCCAAAGTGCAGCCTGGAATGTCACAATGAAATCCTCCCCTTGCCTAGCTAATATATGCTAAAACAAACAAGCAAACAACAGAACAAGCACGTCCAGGGTCAGCCTTGTAGTAGTGAATGTGGCATCCCATTCTGTGTTCTTGGTCCAGGCTGTCTTAATGCCCTGTGCTGTGTTCTTGCTCTGGGCTCTCTTGAGCTGTCTTGACTTAAGCTGCTTGCCATTGGGGGCTGATGGAGCTGCTAATGGAGTCCTTTGGTGCATCAGAAATCTATTCCCTTAACATGCATGCACATACTCTCACCCCACCCCAGTTTGGGGTATGAAGAGGTTACAGTTCACTCAGCTTTTAGTGTTCTACCCCCTTGAATATGGGAATATGGGAACATGGTAGAATGACAATCAGAGAAGGAGTACCATATTAAAACTCCTCTAATTGCCTCATGGAAGAAAAGTGGATGGCTTAGGTTAGCTATGTAATCTGAAGTACAGGTTAGTCTAGCACAGTGGCTGGGACCCATAGATGAGAAGCATTGTCCCTTAGCTGGTGGCAGGTGGCCCACTGAGTCTGCACATGGGAAAGCAAGTCTGTGTCTAGCCATTTCCTAGATATTAGCTGTCTCACGGAGCCTTAACTGCCAATGGAGAACATTGGCTCTGTTTGACAGCAAAGAGGTGCCTTGCTATTCTTACAAGCCAGTGTTCTCCCATACTGTGACGAGCCAAGAGGAGAGGACACAAATGCAAACTCCTTCACAGGAGTCCAGGTAGGTCTGCCATCTGTACCCTCTTGAGGCAGGTAGTAGCACTGTGCCAACCAGTGCTGTGAAGGGTCACTTAGAATGCTTTCACTTACTGTTTTAAGTGTTTTGAATAATGACCACTACAATGAGCATGGATGTAAAGTTGAAAACCATATAATTGGCGACAATTACTCTGAAGGTAGATGTAACTAATGGATCCATTAATCAAAAGAGAATAGACTTTGTTTTGAGATAGATATAGAAAGTTTCTGGATCACTGTTGAAACATATATTATAATTAATGTAATTACAATTGCCTGAGCACGTTACAATGTATAATGATTCAAAATTAAGACAAAAATACAGGCTGGGTGCTGGTGGCTCATGCTTGTAATCCGAGCTCCTCAGAAGGCTGAGATCTAAGGATCAGGGTTCAAAGTCAGCCCGGGCAGGAAAGGCTAAGATTCTTATCTCGAACAAACCACTCAGAAAACGTAAGTCGCTCTGTGGCTCAAGTGGTAGAGCACTCGCCTTGAGCTAAAGAGTTGAGGGATAGAACGTAGGCCCAGAGTTCAAGCCCATGACCGACCATAAAAAAAAAGACAAAAATACAGTATTCATCCATGATATTTTGCTGAAATTGTTTGAAAGTATTTTGTTAATGAAGTTTCTATATCAGAAACTTCCTCATTACCAATAATGAGGAGAAGTGATAATTGATTAGTGATAATTGATATATAGATTAGTGTAGCGTGCCGTCTAATTGATCTTTCCACCTAAATCATTCTTTGCAGATGCTTTCACTGACTCTGCTATCAGTGCTAAAGTGAATGGTGAGCACAAGGAGAAGGACCTGGAGCCCTGGGATGCCGGGGAGCTCACAGCCAGTGAGGACCTCGAGGCTTTGGAAAATGATGTTGTAAGTGGGGTCTTTGAAGCTGGCTACTAGAAGGAGGTGGTTGCTTTGGTAGGAGTATGGCATCCTATCACTGGTTTTAATTTAAGTGGGTTTCTGTTATTGTAGAAACATTTACAGTTGCAGTTGTGGTGTAAATAGAGACTTTTTCTCAGGCAGTTGAGGACTAAGCAGGAAGTGCCATCTGTTTTTATGCCTGTGAATTATTTCTTTATAATTAAGTGATATATATTAAGCAACTTAATAGTTTAAACTGGACAGTCTGAGTGTTTTACTTTTGATACCTGTAGAATAAGACATTCCAGGAACAATGATGTTTCTTCTTTGAGAAAGAGAGGTACTCATCATTTAGACAAAATCAGCACATTTCATGAAACCTTTTTTTGGTGATACTATCTCAGGACCTGAGCTTGCTGAGCAGATGCTCTGCTATTTGAGCCATGTCTCCAGCTCCTTTGATTCCCTGAGCTCTTGACTTCCCAAGTAGGATTACAGACTTAAGCCACCACACCAGACTGCATATCTATTTTTAAAATGCCAGTGGGGGGCTGGGAAGGTGGCTCAGTGGTAGAGTGCTTGCCTTGCATGCCTGAGGCCCTGGGTTCGATTCCTCAGCACCACATAAGCAAAAAGAACAAAGCTGGAAGTGGCACTGTGCTCAAGTGGTAGAGTGCTAGCCTTGAGCTGAAGAGTTGAGGGACAGCACCCAGGCCCAGAGTTCAGGCCCCATGACCGGACCCAAAAAAAAAAAAAATGCCAGTGGGCTGGGAATGTGGCTTAGTGGTAGGTGTTTGCCTCCCATGCACAAAGCCCTAGGTTTGATTCCTCAGTACCACATAAACAAAGCCAGAAGTGGCATTGTGGCTCAAGTGATGGAGTGCTGGCTTTGAGCAAAAGTAGCTCAAGGACAGTGCCCAGGACCTAAGTTCAAGCCCCAGGACTGGCAAAAAAAAAAAAAAGAAAGAAAAATTAAAACAAGAAAATGCAGGTCAGTGTTCATGCCTATAATCCTAGCTATCAGGAGCTGCAATCCAAAGAGCTGCGCAAGGGAGTGTGGGGCTGAAGGGTGGATTTTAAGGGAAGCTCAAAGGCTGACACTGCCCTCAGCAGTTCTTAGATGGTGCTTGTTGTACTCTTCTGAGATGAATATTAGCTACATCTAGATCTCACCCCTTTGGCCACGCTGATTTTAAAAGAAGAGTTGATATGCCCACGCTTTTGAGGGTTCTTTGTTTCTCCTAGCTCCTTTATGCAATAAGACTTAGCTAAAGAGAGATTATAAATTAGGGCATGGAGATCTAGAATTGTTATTGCTGAGGTCTTTCAACTGCGGATGGCTAAAGTCCTAATATTGAGCTCTTGAGACATGGCTTACTAATTCTTTGCTTGCTGCCTCATGCTGTCTTTCCTCCGATCATTTTTATGAGAGAAAGGAGCAGCTGAGAAGGAGGGGCGAGCACCTATAGAAACATGCACTGGGGCAGACATTGGTTGTTCTTTTCCTTTAAGCACTGAAAATATTTTTGGCTCTCAGAGCACTTTTTGGTTTGGTTTGGTTTGGCTGTGTGCTAGCCCTGGGGCTTGAACTCAGTGCCTGGGCATTATCTCTGACTTTTTCGTGCTCTACCACTTAAGCCACAGTTCTACTTCCAGCTTTTTGGTAGTTAACTGGAGATAATTAGACTTTCCTGCCTGGGCTGATCCTCAGATCTAAGCCTGTTGAGTAGATTAGACAAGAATGAGCCACCTGCTCCTGGCTTCAAAGGCAATTCTGAAGTTGGATGTGGACCTGATGGTCGTCCACTCCTATGATCCTAGCACTTGGAAAAGTTAAAGGCTAGCAAGGAGTTGTTCGCAAAGAAACACAAATAGAAGTTACCTCTTGATGACTGTCCTCTGAAGAGTTTCCAGAAACTGGTGTCTGCTGATAAATAGGAAAGTGACTGTAGACAGAAAACATCCTGATAATTAATTGTCCTATGTGGTTACTTACCAATTTGAATAGCTATAAATACAAGAAAAGTTTCTCCTTAAAACAGTTTTTTAAAACATTTTTAAAGGGAAAGTTTTGCTTGTCTTTTTTAACTTTGTAAATACAGCCAGTATAGTTTGCTAAATGTTGTTAACTGAAATAGTAACTGAATTAAAGAAAATAAATTCTTGGTTATTTTGTAAAGTAAGCCTCATTTTCTTCTAGTCTAATGGGTGGGACCCCAATGATATGTTTCGATACAATGAAGAAAATTATGGTGTGGTGTCTACGTATGACAGCAGTTTATCTTCATACACGTGAGTTTGCTTTGGCACATTTTAAAAGTTTTCATCAGGCTGGGCACCAGTGGCTCAAGCTCTAATCCCAGCTACTCAGGAGGCTGAGATCTGAGGATTGCGGTTCAAAGCCAGCCCAGAGAGGAAATCCACAAGACTTTTTTTTTTTCTTTTCCAGAGCTAAGGACCGAACTCAGGGCCTTGTGTTTGCCAGGCAGGTGCTCTTCCGCTGAGCTAAACCCCAGCCCCAAGTCCATGGGACTCTTTATCTCCAATAAACTACTCAGAAAAAGCCAGAAGTGGCGCTGTGGCTCAAGTGGTAGAGCACTAGCCTTGAGCACAGAGAGGCTCAGGGACAGAGCCCAGGCTCTGAGTTCAAGCCTCAGGACTGCCCCCCCCAAAAAAAAAATTCATCAGCTCCAATTATGATGCTGAATAAACGTTTGTTAGATTATTTGTTTGTCGGTTGTGGGATTTGAACTCTGGATCTGGGCACTGTCCCTCAGCTCTTCAGCTGAAGGCGAGCATTCTACCACTTGAGCCACAGCGCCACTTCCAGTTTTCTGGTGGTTTATTGGAGATAAGAGTCTCATGACCTTTTCTGCCTGGGCTGGCTTTGAACTGTGATCCTCAGATCTCAGCCTCCTGAGTAGCTATGATTATAGACATGAGCCATTGGCACCAGGCAATCTACCTAATTTTTGAAGTATTAAATGTTCTTCCATGTAAAAGATAGCATAAAAATTAAAACTTACAGCTGAGAATGTAGCTTAGAGGTAGAGTGCTTGCCTAGCATGCATGAAGCCCTGGGTTTGATTCCTCAGTAACACATAAACAGAAAAGGCCAGCAGTGGCGTGGCTCAAGTGGTACAGTGCTAGCCTTGAGCACAGAAGCTCAGGGACAGCGCCTAGGCCTCAGGATTGGCAAAAACAAAAAGCCTCAAACTTAACAATTTATAAAATATAGTAGTAGTGTCTATAATTTTTCTAATATCCCAATCTAAAATTTCTTAATAATTGTTGGTGGCAGATGCAAACTATGACTTTGCTTTTCTTCTCTTCATCTTTTAGGGTACCGTTAGAAAGGGATAATTCAGAAGAATTTTTAAAACGGGAAGCAAGGGCAAACCAGTTAGCAGAAGAAATTGAGTCCAGTGCTCAGTACAAAGCTCGGGTGGCTCTGGAAAACGATGACAGGAGCGAGGAAGAAAAATACACGGCCGTTCAGAGAAACTCCAGTGACCGGGAGGGGCACAGTGTGAGCACCAGGTATGTAAAGGAAAGCATAATGCAATACACAACTCAAGGTCTGCATGGGACGGCATATTATATTACCTTCCTTCCTTCGTGAGGCTTAGGTAGAGAATGAGTAGAGAATTGGTTTAAGGTTGCGCTAGAAGAAAGGCACCGGGTGTCACACACATGATAGGGACTAACCTAGGTCTAGAAGCACTCATTCCAGAATAACAGTTAGAGGGAACATGTGCGCTACTGCAGCAGCTGTGCACTGTGTTCTGGCCAAGCGGCCTGAGAGCCGAGGGAGCGTTCAGTGTGAAGAGCAGGGCGGCTGTCCTGTCAGAAACATCTCAGTGAGGAGGTGGCATTTCGTGCTAGGGTAAGAAGAGAGTAATGAGAGATTAACTTCTTACCTGGTGAAAACTCGCACCCTGAGCATGATCTTGTGTGTGCCGGGTCTAGAGCACAGGGCTGTGTGATGAGTGCTGTGGTGGCAGGTGGTGAGAGGATCTGAGATCATGGGCGGACTTGTTGGACATGGGGAACAGTGCCCTATAGGTGGGGTGAGGAGGGAACTCTCTGTTCTACAGCACTGAGGACTGTGGTGTACTGCGGAAATTCAACCTAGAGAACTTGGTAAGCAACTTGATGGTGGCTAGTGGCCCAAAAGTTAGAAAAAGGTTAATTACCAAATGACTGGCAGTATGATGTGTGTGTTGATAGTAGAGATAGGAAACATAGAGTGAGTTTCAGGGGAGAAAATAGTGGTTTGGTTTGTGCAGTTTCTTGCATTTAAATGACTCAGGGGTATTTCATTTGTTCATAAATAAATATGGGGCAGCACCTACTATATACTTGATAGTCTCTGGGGTACCCACAGCTTACAGTGTGGTTGCAATCCAACGGGACACATGGAGATTAGAGGCACATCATCAGTGTAGATCCAAAAAACAAGCAGAGAGGAAATCCCAGAGAAAAATGAAGTGAAAGGGAACAAGGACTCCCCTCCCCTTACCCACTCTCCCATTAAAAAAAAGAAAATGCCTTTTAAGAGCGATGGTGCCAGCCGTGGAGAGGAGGGCGCCCTGCAGCAGCTAGGCACTTGGGTAATGGAAGAGCAGTGACATTTGTGGGACTTCTGCCTAAGCTACTTTAAGATGTTTCGTTGGCCTACTATATTTTAGGAAAAACTGATGTCTGGGGGATCTCTCATTTTCAGGGAAAATAAATATATTCCTCCTGGACAAAGAAATAGAGAAGTCATGTCGTGGGGAAGTGGGAGACAGAATTCCCCACGCATGGGCCAGCCGGGGTCAGGCTCCGTGCCTTCCAGATCTGCCTCTCACACTTCAGAGTTCAACCCGAGTTCTGGTGCAGACCAAAGAGTAGTTAATGGAGGCAAGTATCTTCACCAAATTTGTCAGTGTGACTGATCAAATATAGAGATTTCAGATATTTCAAAGAGTTTACATAATTGATAGACTTGCGCATACCATTAATGATTTTTGTGGAACTTTCACTTAAACGTTATTTAGTTTACTTTTGTGGATATCAAATTAGTGAACTGTTCATAAGTCACAGCCCATCCCGCATGACAAAATGCTCACTAAGATGACATGTTAAATTAATTGTAGACATTCACTTAGCAAACATAGTCCACACAGAAAGAAATTGGAAACTTTGAGTAAGTTCTCAAAAAAAACACTGGAAACTCAAAATATTTAGACATAATACAGATTTACTTTCAGGGACTGTGTTTATAGTCTTGCTTACTTTGAGGTAATTTATAATATAAACATGACCAAGAGTCATGTGAAGAAAGTAATGACAGAATTGGTGCTAAAAAGACACAAAAACTTAGCCTTTGAGGCTGGGGTGCAGTTCAGCAGCTTAGGTTAAAGAAACTTGCATCTATAGTGGGAAGGTGTTTTCTGTAACACCTCTAAGGCAGGGTGAACATAGCTCACCAGTTACAGATAGATAATAGATAAAATTCTGTGATACTGAATGGTATAGAATTTAGGGCAATTAATAACAGCAATAGGGTGTTACTAACTCAAGGATGAGCCGTTTTTCATTTCTAGGCATGTACATTTGCAAAGTTAGATAAAAATAGAGAACACTGAAGTTTCCAATTTCATTTATTTTCATTGAATCTTTTCTCCAGAATTCCTCTCCAAATGAACACTCTTGAGTATTTTCTTACCTAGAAATGGGAAAGAAATGTCTTTGCTCATGGAGTAAAGATTTGTAGTTGTTTATAAGCAGAATTTTCAAATAACCTGAAGGGGGCTGGGAAATGAATGATACTCAAGTGTGTGGAGTCGTCTGGAGAGGAGACCTGGACTGTTAGCGGAGGCTGAGGTGAGTGATCTATAGCAGTGCTGTCAGCCGTGCTGGTGCTGTGCACCCAACAGCCGCTTGATACACTGCTGTAGAGGTGCATGGTGTGTGGACGCAGTCTCTTAGATAAGTATTTACCTAACTGCATCAGTTATTTAGAAGGCTTTCATCCCATTTTGGTGAAATTAGTATATTTGCTTTAATAGAGTATTGAGCATTAACTTTTGTTACTCCTGTGTCTCTAGTAAAAGTATTTTTCTTTGACTTAAATGGGAATTAATGAGATTTGATACTGATGATAAAGTCAGGTTCAAATGATAAAATCATAGATAACTATAAAATAGAGCCTTTAAAATTGGATCTGATAACTTTCTTATTTTCATTGTTTCAGTGATAAACCTAAGATAGCAAATAAATAATCTTATTCCTAAGTAGGAATTGCTGTGTTTTACTGTGTGAAATTATTATGTGTATATATCCCTTTAGAAATTGATACTGTAGATGCAGGATTATTAGGTAGAGTCCTAACTGTCTTCTTCAATAGTGTGTGTAGATCCTAATTAACCCTTTGGGAACGTGTGTTCATTTAAACAGACTTTATTTTAAGGAGGTTACCGTAAAATGTGAATTTATGTCAGTTAAGTTATGCTAATAAAACTTAGCACAAATCAAAATGACTGTCCTCAAAGGGTTAAAATGTACAAGAAATCATTTTTGTCATTTTACTTTTTTTCTGTTTACTTTTTCCCTCATTTTTTTCTTTAGTTTTTATACTTTCCTTCATATCATTTGTTCTGTCAGGTGTCCCCTGGCCATCGCCTTGCCCATCTCCTTCCTCTCGCCCACCTTCTCGCTACCAGTCAGGTCCCACCTCTCTTCCACCTCGGGCAGCCACCCCTACACGGCCGCCCTCCAGGCCCCCCTCGCGGCCATCCAGACCCCCGTCTCACCCCTCTGCTCATGGTTCTCCAGCTCCTGTCTCTACTATGCCTAAACGCATGTCTTCAGAAGGTACAATTCCACAATTTGTTCATGTTTTTGTTTGTCTTTGTTTAACTCCTGTGTGAGTTTATGATTACAAAATAGTTTCCTCTTCATTATTTAGTAACCTATAATTTCTTGAGTTTAAAGTTTATTGTATTATAACTATTAACGTTTTGTTCATTAGAAAGAAATTTCATGAATTTGCTGTGTGAAGCTGTGAAGTGTCTTGAATTGTAGAGGGTTTAATCTTTACCTGGTCGTGCTTCTGCGCAGCCCAGAAAGGCCTCCCCGCACGCTCCCTCCTCATGGCCGCTGGATGCAGTGTTCATGAGATGGTTGATGGTTGATCTGTTGGCCACAGGCAGGAGTGGTGTGTTACAGACTCTGATAGGAGTGACATTCCATGTCACTGCCCTTGTATGTTTACCCCCCCATCACAGTTCAGTGTTTTTAGAGTACTGAAGGAATTCTAAATTAAACTGAATTTTTTTTTTTTTTTTTGTTGGTCATGGGGCTTGATCTCTGGGCCTGGGCGCTGTCTCTGAGCTCTTTAGCTCAGGGCGAGCACTCTACCACTTGAGCCACAGCACCACTTCAGTTTTTCTAAGTGGTTGATATGACAAGAGTCTCATGGACTTTCCTGACCAGGCTGGCTTTGAAACTTAATCCTCAGATCTCAGCCTCCTGTAGCTAGGATGACAGGCGTGAGCCACTGGCGCCCAGCTGGACTCACTAATTTTTTTTTTTTTTTTTGTCATGGGGCCTGAACTCTGATCAGCTCACTAACTAAATTTTTTTTTTTTGGGGGTCCGGTCGTGGGGCCTGAACTCTGGGCCTGGACGCTGTCCCTCAGCTCTTCAGTTCAAGGCTAGCGCTCTACCATTAGAGCCACAGTGCCACTTCCGGCTTTGTTCTTTTTTCTTATGTGGTGCTGGGCCTCATGCATGCAAGGCAAGCGCTCTACCACTGAGCCACCTTCCCAGCCCCTCACTAACTAATTTTTAAGATGACATTTTTTCCTCCTCTCCTAATGGCAAATAATTGCAAGGTTATTTTGTTGAAGTGCTTGCAGCTGTTGTTTGAGTAGATGTTTATTTCAGAAGTGTAGATAAGAACTGAGCTTTTTTTTTTTTTCCCCTGTTGTAGGGCTTGAACTCAGGTTCTGGGCACTGACCCTGAGCTCTTTGTGCTCAAGGCCTACTGCTCAACCACTTGAGCCACAGTGCCACTTCCAGGTTTAGAGTGGTTTAATTGAAGATAAGAGTCTCACGGGGAATTGAACCACAATCCTCAGATCTCAGCCTCCTGAGTAGCTAGGATTGCAGGTGTGAGACACCGGCACCTGGGCAAACTGAGCATTCTTTACGTGAAACTGGAAAAGACTACATGGGCTTCCAGAGGAAGTCTTCTGCTAAAGTTAGGGTGTATTCCTTTAAAGATCATGTCTATGATAAAATCCATGTTGTTCTAAAGCGTTTGGTGCCAGGATATGCACAGGGACCTTGGCTCTCGCAGTAAAAAATTTTGTGAGTGTTAGCACCATCAGGTATCTCTGGTGGGGAAGGCTGTCCAGAGTTTGGCTTGGTGATCACTGCTTTAGAAAGCGAAATAAATAGCATATGACAGAATGGGTGATGTAGAAATTTGACAGTTCTTTTTTTTGGCCAGTCTTGGGGCTTGAACTCGGGGCCTGGGCACTGTCCCTGAGCTCCTTCTGCTCAAGGCTAGCACTCTACCACTTGAGCCACAGCGCCACTTCAGCTTTTTCTGTGTATGTGGTGCTGAGGAATCGAACTAAGGGTTTCATTCATGCTAGGCAAGCACTCGACCACTGAGCCACCTTCCCAGACTTGACAGTTCTTTTAGTACAGATTTTATCCCCAAGTGTCATATGGCTTGGTCTTAGAAGTTATACTTTAACAGTAGGATTTCAGCTAAAAGTCTGAGAAACTATTTACAGGGGAACATTGTTTTAAGCCATGATTTATAATATTGATGGTCATACAGAAGACATAGTATGCTAGCAATTTAGAGAAGCTTAAAGATATGCACATATATTTTAGGATTGATGGCCCTTTTATTTAAAAAAATTTTTTTAATGCAGGGGGCCATAGCTCACTGTGTGATCTTAGGAGGATGAGCTAACTAAACCGAAGGCATAGCTCAGGTGGTTGAGTGCCAACTTAGCAAGCAAGCCTAGCAAAAGTGAGGACCTGAGTTCAAGCCCTGGTACTGGCACCCAAAAATATCCTGGAGACCTACATAGCTCAGCAGTAGAACTCATGCCTAAAATGTATGAGACTAGGGTTCTATATCCAGCATTGCAAAAATAAATGTACAAAATGCCCCCCCTAATTTTTTAAAATTTGAGGTGTAAATTAGAAGTATATGGGAAAGTAAAAATCATTCTATTTTATCACTATACAATTCAATTGTATTTTTGTATGCCTGCAAATAATGAGTAAAAATAAATTACTAAAATTCTAAGACTTGTGACATATTATTGTTTTGGGGTTTCTTTTAGCACCAACCTCATCTTTCCCTTTCTTTAAGAAAAAAGGGAAATAAAAAGTATTTGTAACTTGTTGTATTCCAAAAAATAATTGTGAATTAGTATGGCTAAAAATTTGTATGGTATGGTTTATCTTTTCATTTTTTACCAAGGAGAAACTTGAATAAGACAGGGTGTGAGCGCGGTTAGCAGAAGAGTACAGTGTGTGAGCGTGTTTAGCAGAAGAGTACAGTGGACATTGCAGCACTTGTGACATTCGTGACCCCTCTCTTAGGGCCTCCCAGGATGTCTCCGAAGGCCCAGCGACACCCTCGCAACCACAGAGTTTCTGCTGGGCGGGCCTCCATAGCCAGCGGCCTAGAATTTGTATCCCACAACCCGCCAAGTGAAGTAGCAGCTCCTCCAGTGGCCAGGACCAGTCCAGCTGGGGGAACGTGGTCATCAGTGGTCAGTGGTGGTAGGTATCCCTTGGCCTGGGGCCTCGTGGCAGTGTATATTTTGTATTTTTTGCTAAGTGAGAAAAAGCGCAGCTCTGAGGAAACACAAGACATCTATGAAACCCCAGGAGAACCAGGAAGTAGTTCTATTGCTGTGTTAGATAGAGCAGGTCGTGCAAGGAGCTGATCTTCAGTTTTTTTCCATGAGTGAAGTCATTATTGTCTAGTATACTTGATGGGCTTTGAGTCAGTTCCTATGAGGTTTGTAAGTACATAGTTGAGACTTACAGATTATTACTGTATAAGGCAAAAATACTTCATAATATGACTTGACTCTACCTCTTTTTCACCTTTCAGCAATTTTGTTCATTGATTCACTCCACCCAGCACTTAATTTGAGCTTACAGTACAGTGAGTTACCATAACATCTGTATATGACACTATTGCCTTTGAAGGGATATGAAACACAAAATGAGAAGGTCAGCTTTAATCTGATTAGCTTGAGGAATATGCTGATAGCAGCTACAACAACGTAAAGATTATATTTTGATAAGATTTTAGAATTAGGCTGATGTTGCTTTGAAAACTTTGCCAATCCTTACCGCTTTGCTCTTACAATAACTGGGGAGCTAGAGGTTGCAGTGAATACTTTTCTTGTTTGTTCTTTGAACTACCAGGAGAAAAATCTTGATATAGCTACTTTAGTCAGGCACTGGTGGCTCACACCTAATCCTACCTACTCAGGAAGCTGAGATCTGAGGATCACAGTTCAAAGCCAGCCCAGGCAGGAAATGCCATGAGACTCTGATCTCCAAAAAACTACCAGAAAACTGGAAGTTGCGTTATGGGTCAAGTGGTAAATTGTTCACCTTGAGCTGAAGAACTGAGGGACAGTGCCAAGGCCCAGAGTTCAAGCCCCACAACCGACCAAAAAAAAAATCAATTAAGAGGGAACCCACAGCTGAACTTGGGTATTAGTGGTTACTATCTTTGTTCAGATACTTTTTGTAATTACTACTATCATTCCTAAGACTTTATTTTTTGTTGTTGTTTATTTTTTTTCTTTGTCAGTCGTAGGGCCTGAACTCTGGGCCTGGGCGCTGTCCCTCAGCTCTTCAGCTCAAGGCTAGTGCTCTACCACTTGAGCCACAGCGCCACTTCTGGCTTTTTATTTTTTTCTGCTTATGTGGTGCTGAGGAATGGAACCCAGGGCCTCATGTATGAAAGGCAAGCACTCTACCACTGAGCCACCTTCCCAGCCCCTCCTAAGACTTTATAAAACAGAGTACTGGGATAAAGTGTGGGGACCGGTCAGGACAACTACTTAAATCTTCAGAAAAACCTCTTTGAGCCAAGGATGTTGTAAATAACTTTTCCCTTGCTTCTGTCTAGTTCCGAGATTATCTCCAAAAACTCACAGACCCAGGTCTCCCCGACAGAACAGTGTTGGAAACCCTCCCAGCGGGCCTGTGCTCACTTCTCCCCCAGCTGGTACCGCCCCGGCCGAAGCAATTGCCATGCCCGTTCCTGCTGCGTCTCCTACGCCTGCCAGCCCCGCCATCAACAGAGCCGGGACCCCATCCGCTGAGGGTATGAGGCCCAGGCCTTCCAGACCCTAATGCCAGCTGACAGGTTGTGTGCTTTTAGCTGTAGGTGTTCTATTTTAAATACACATTGAACTTTTTATGTAAATTGTGTTGTTTATACAATACCCACTAATCTCATTGATACTATTCTTTAATGTCTGGTATCTGGAAAATTAGCTTTTCCTGGGTACTAAGGGCCTGTTTGAAAACTTAATGGTAGCTCATAGGATGGTAACAAAAAAGAAAAGCTTCCATATAATTTGATTTTCCAAAAACAGGAAATCAAAAGTTGAGTTCTGTTTCACCTCATTTTTATGACTCTGACACTGAACTTTTTTTTTTCTAAATTGCTTTCTAGCTAAAGATTCCAGACTCCAAGATCAGAGGCAGAATTCTCCAGCAGGAAATAAAGAATGCCTGAAAGCCATTGAAGCATCGCCTAGCTTCTCAAAAACTGAAAATAAAGGTGAGAGTTTTGTTTTTCAAAGTTTTTAGGCATAAATGTTAAAACAGGGAAGCGATTGTGTCATTTCATCTTTCAAGCAGTGTATTTTTTTTTAAAAAATTTATTGAGATTAGATGATTACATAAATTTCACATATTTCACAGTATTGTGGGATAGTGACACTTACTTAAAGGCACAAACACATTTTCACCTTCACAAGGCAAGTTGTCATTATCATGGTCTATAAAGTTTGTGAATTCTGTGAGCTTTGATGATAAAACTAGTTCTTCCACATGCGGTGGTATTTACATTTCTTCCCTTTGGTTTAGTGTATTTTTTTAGTTCTAATTTCTCATGTGTATCTATTAAATACCCAAAATTAACATGTAAAATTGTTATTCTTTTGATGATAGGTTTTGTTGGCATTTCTAATATTCAATACTAAAACAGTTTCAAGTAAAAGAGTAGAAATAAATTGACATGAAAATTTTTTTGATGTTACAGGTGTATCACCAGTTGTTTCTGAACACAGGAAACAAATAGATGATTTAAAGAAGTTCAAGAATGATTTTAGGGTAAGTGTCATATTGAATCATGTATGAGGATTTATTTTGGTTTTTTGTTTTTGTTTCTGTGGTACTAAGGAATCAAACGCAGAGCATCATGCACACTAGGCAAGCACTCTTACCACTAAGTCACATTCCCAGACCAATGCGTGAGGATTTAACAAATAACAAAAGTGCAGGATGTTCACATTCAGAAACATGAAGAATGGGAGGCAAACAATTTGAGGCAGCCTGGGCAGAGAAGTCTGTGAATATTCACCTCATTAAAGATATCTATTGCCCCAGAAACTGTGGGAAACCTGGAATAGAAAGATGGTGGCTTTAGGTGTGCTCCTAGGTAGAGCAGTGTATCAGAAGGTGGACCCTGACCTAACAGTGGTATGTACAAAGTGGGGCTAGAGCTGTAGCTCAGCAGTACAGCATCTACCTAGCAAACTAGATCCTGGAGTTCAAAACCTAGTACTAGCCCGGTGCTGGTGGCTCACACCTGTAATTCTAGCTACTCAGGAGGCTGAGATCTGAAGATTGTGGTTCATAGCCCAGGCAGGAAAGTCCAAAAAAGCTGCAAGTGCAGCTGTGGCTCAAGTGGTAGAGTGCTAGTCTTGAGCAAAAAAATTTCAAAGACAGTGCCTAGGTCCTGAGTGCCACAGAACCGGCACCAAAGAGAGAAAAAAAAAGGCTCATGTAAAACATTTCATGCCACAGAAAATTCTTACTGTTCATGTACTCATCGAGAAAATTGACTGCTTCTTTTATTTAGTTACAGCCAAGTTCCACAACGGAGTCAATGGATCAACTACTAAATAAAAATAGAGAGGGAGAAAAGCCAAGGGATTTGCTCAAAGACAAAATTGAACCCATTTGTAAGGACTCTTTCATTGAAAATAGCAGCAGCAATTGTACCAGCGGCAGCAGCCCCAGCGCCTCCCCGTCCATCCTCAGCAGTGTAGAGCCCAGGAGGGGACCCGAGGTCACCTCCCAAGGCGTGCAGACTTCCAGTCCAGCATGCAAGCAAGAGAAAGATGATAAGGACGAGAAGAGAGATGCAGCTGAGTAAGTAAATCATTCCTACTGGTGGACATAATGTAGATAGCTTTTTAAAAAAAATTGTTATTGTAAAGCAGACGTGCAGAGCGATTACAGTTACATGAGTCAAGTGAGGAGTACGTTTCTTTTTTAGCCATGGATTAGACAGCTGTTAAGTAGCTCCTTTCAATAGTTGGTATGAACTAGTGGCTTGGTGACCAGTTAGGCCATTTCCCCTCACCATCCTGCCTTGACTGCAGCAGGCTTTTTCCAAAACGTTCAAGAGTGGAAAAGTTAGGATTGGGGGACCTGCCGCCTCTGAACTCTTGTCAACTTTCATCCTAGTATTCTCCAAAGAGTATGCCCTTGCTCAGGTGGAAAACGACATTTTTCAGCAGAAGCGGTGTTTCAGTGAATATCTGAATGTGTTTGTCCTAATTGTGCAGATTATCCAGTAAAGGGATTGTTAAGAGCTACCTCAGAACCTAACCACTGGTTTATGATAGCCATGAGTTCGTGGCTTGTGTGGACTACATATGTAGATTGACTGCTGGGGGAGAAACCTACAAGCTTTGAATTGGCATTCGTATTTAATTGAAATGGTTAAGGGTTGCTTGTTTCATAGGGAACTATGGTCTTTCCAACTGAAGGATTGGTTGATTGCATTTGAAGAAAGCAGTTTTTGGTTTCTGTGGCCATTTTTTAAAATTAGGTTAAATAGTGGGTAATGTGTTCCCTTTAACAAGGAAGGTTAATAATCTAATGAGAATTGTTTACATATAGCCAGGTGTCAGTAGCTTACACCTGTAATCCTAACTACTCTGGAGGCTGAGATTTGAGGAGGGCAGTTCAAAGCCAGCCAGGGCAGGAAAGTCCAGAAGACTCTCTCTTTTTTTTTTTTTTTTTTAGTTGGTCATAGGGCTTGAACTCTGGGCTTGGGCGCTGTCCCTATGCTCTTCAGCTCAAGGCGAGTGCTCTACCATTTGAGACACAGCACCACTTCCTGTTTTCTAGTGGTTTATTGGAGATAAGAGTCTCACTGACTTTTCTGGGGCTGGCTTTGAACCATGATCCTCAGATCTCATCCTCCTGAGTAGCTAGGATTACAGGCATGAGCTGCCGGAGATTTTATCTCCAGTAAACCATCAAAAAACGGGAAGTAGCACTGTGGCTCAAGTAGTAGACCACTCACCTTGAGCTGAAGAGCTGAGGGACAGCGCCCAGGCCCAGAGTTCAAACCCCATGACTGACCAAAAAAAAAGAAAGTTTAAATATGATAGACGTTGGCAAAATTTATCAGGCATGGAACAGCTTAGAGAAACATAAATTCCATGCAACGTTCACTGGCCTGTACTTTTTCCTTTTTCTTTCCTGATTTAGGCAAGTTAGGAAATCTACATTGAATCCCAATGCAAAGGAGTTCAACCCTCGATCCTTCTCTCAGGTAAGTTTGTTACCTGTTTTGAGGTTATTCTAATCTCTGAAAAGAATTAATTCTACCTGTAATCCTAGCTACTCAGGAGGCTGAGATCTGTTTATCATGGTTCAAAGCCAGCCTGAGCAAGAAAGTCTGTGAAACTCTTATCTCCAATAAAAACCACCAGAAAACTGGAAGTGCCACTGTGGCACTAGTCTTGAAAAGAAGAGCTGAGGGACAGCACTCAGGCCCAGATTCAAGCCCCACAACCAATCAAAAAAAGAAAAAAGGTTTTTATATTCTCAGGATGATACTGTTAGAGACAAAAATCTGAACCTAATTTCTTTTTTTTTTTTTTTTTTGTCGGTCGTGGGGCTTGAACTCTGGGCCTGGGCGCTGTCCCTCAGCTCTTCAGCTCAAGGCGAGCGCTCTACCACTTGAGCTACAGCGCCACTTCCGGTTTTCTGGTGGTTTATTGGAGATAGGAGTCTCACAGTCTTTCCTGCCCGGGCTGGCTTTGAACCGTGATCCTCAGATCTCAGCCTCCTGAGTAGCTAGGATTACAGGCGTGAGCCACCAGCGCCCGGCTGAACCTAATTTCTTATTCAGAATGTGAAGCTGATTGACTAGGCCATTGAGCTCACAGACATGCTATTGTTGTTATTCTACTAAATTAAAAAAAGATAAACATTTTAGAGTATTTTGCTTGGTTTCTTAAAAATTGTCTGTCAGGCACTATTTATAGCGACAATTTATTTTGATGGTACTAGGACTTTAATTTAGGGTCTTACCCTTGCTAGATAGGTGTTCTACCACTTAAGCCTGATAATATACATACACACACACACATATATATATATATATATATATTTTTTTTTTTTTTTTTGGGTCCAGTCGTGGGGCCTGAACTCTGGGCCTGAGCGCTGTCCTTCAGCTCAAGGCTAGCGCTCTACCACTTGAGCCACAGTGCCACTTCCTGCTTTTTTCTTTTAGCTTATGTGGTGCTGAGGAATCGAACCCAGGGCCTCATGCATGCAAGGCAAGCGCTCTACCAGCCTGATAATATTTTTAATTTCCAAACTCTTGCCATATAAACCCGGGGCTGGTGGCTTACAACGTGCAAGCGATCTGAGGATCACAGTATAAAGCGAAATCAGGCAAACAAATATGTGAGACTTTTATCTGCAGTTACCCAGCAAAAAGCTGGAAGTAAACTGGATTCAGATGTTAGCTCACTAGCCTTGAGTGAAAAAGCTAAGGACAGCACCCAGACCCTGACCAAGTCTCAGTACTGCTACCAAAAATTTATTTTGCACTATGTATAGCTATCTACCTGAGCACTTTTTACTTTTCATTAAAACATTTATTTTCTGGGCTGGGAAGTTGGCTCAGTGGTAGAGTGCTTGCCTTGCATGCATGAGGCCCTGGGTTCGAATCCTCAGCACCACATAAACAAAAAAGAAAAAACGGAAGTGGCACTGTGGCTCAAGCGGTAGAGCGCTAGCCTTGAGCTGAAGAGCTGAGGGACAGCGCCCAGACCCAGAGTTCAGGCTCCACAACCAAACCAAAAAAAAAAAACCATTTTCTGAGAGTTTGTTTTGTTGAGAGCAGTAGTGGGAATTGAACCCTCGGTTATTTATATGTTGCCACTTCATCCCAGTCTAGGTTTTGCTTTGAAGTAGTAGGGATCAAACCTAAGCTCATATGTGCTCGGCTCTGGGTTTTGTATTAGTTGAAAGCAAGTAAAAACTTAGATACATACATTAGAAGAATCCACCTACAGATAGCATTAATAGTTAAAATTTTTAAATTTTGTTTCTGTAGCCAAAGCCTTCCACCACCCCAACTTCACCTCGGCCTCAAGCACAACCGAGCCCCTCGATGGTGGGTCCTCAGCAGCCCACGCCAGTCTATACGCAGCCTGTTTGTTTTGCACCAAACATGATGTATCCAGTCCCTGTGAGTCCGGGTGTGCAAGTAAGTCGATGGAGTTTGTGTTCACTTTGCCTCCCCCTTGTTTGTATTTGGCACAAGTATTGTTTAGATTTGAAATAACTTAAGATGGCATGTAAAAACATTTTCTAAATATAATGGTTTGTTTATATTGTTACAATATGTACCTGAATCTGGCAATATTTACTGGTGAAAAAAAATGTTTAAGATTTAGTGTTTGGAGTTTTTCCTCTTAGCTGTGGATATGGTATTGGTGGTCAATGACTTGTCAAAGATAGAGCTTTATAATTGGTTGTTTCTGTTTGGTGTGGAGCTAAGACCTTTTGTGTGATAGGCAAGCACTGTACCACTGAGCTGTATCTGCCATCATTTGAGTGATTCGCAGAGTATCTTAGAGCTAGCTCTGGCAAGCTAAAGCTAAGAGAGAGGGAAAGAATACTTTCTTATCAGAAGATCTTAATGTTATTTTTTTTTAATTCCCTCAAGCCTTTATACCCAATACCCATGACGCCCATGCCAGTGAATCAAGCCAAGACCTATAGAGCAGGTAAAGGTGAGAGTATTCCTGCCTGTGTTTGCCTGTATTCTTGCATGCTGCATGAGTGAAGATGCTGTTGTATAGTGGCTGTGCTTGGGGCTTTCCCTGGGCCAACATTAAGGTGTTTCGATCAGTTTTTCTGGACTGTTCACTTTCTTCTTCAAAAAGAACTATGATCATCTTACTGTGAGAGCAGGGAAAGGTTTTTTTTTGTTTTTTGGGGGGTTTTTTTGGTGGGGGGGTCCGGTCGTGGGGCCTGAACTCTGGGCCTGGGTGCTGTCCCTCACCTCTTCAGCTCAAGGCTAGCGCTCTACCACTTGAGCCATAGTGCCACTTCCGGCTTTTTCTGCTTATGTGGTGCTGAGGAATTGAACCCAGGACCTCAGGCATGCAAGGCAAGCGCTCTACCACTGAGCCACCTTCCCAGCCGGGAAAGGGTTTTATAGTGCCATTGTAATACACTATTAACTTGTTCTTCATTTCTACCTGGTGTTATGGTTTTACTGACATGGATCTGTGTTAAGAAACAAAAGATGAGCTAGGTGCTGATGACTCACGCCTGTAATCATAGCTACTCTGGAGGCTGAGATCTGAGGATCGAAGTTCAAAGCCATCTGGGACAGGAATGTCCGTGAGACTCATCTCCAGTTAGCCATCCCCAAAACCAGAAGTAGAGCTGTGGCTCAAAGTCGTAGAGCACTAGCCTTGAGCACAAAAGCTCAGGGACAGTGCAGACCCAGAGTTTTAAGCCCCATGACCGACAAATAAAAAATACAAAATACAAAGAATGATTGCCATAAGAACAAGTATGTCATATATCTTTTTTTTTTTTTTTTTGCCGGTTGTGGGGGCCTGAACTCTGGGCCTGGGTGCTGTCCCTCACCTCTTCAGCTCAAGGCTAGCGCTCTACCACTTGATTCCGGCTTTTTCTGCTTATGTGGTGCTGAGGAATCGAACCCAGGGCCTCATGCATGCAAGGCAAGCGCTCTACCACTGAGCCACCTTCCCAGCCCCGTATGTCATATATCTTGACTGTAGGAAATTTTCTATTACTGTAGGCAGAAATCAATATAGCTTTTTTAGCTAGTACAGCCATGTTACAGAGTATTCCTGCTAAACTATACCCACAAGAATCTCAGCTGGGTATAGTAACTGTGCTAATAGAGAAGTGAGTAGGTATTTACTGTTATCTATTATTTCCATTCTGTGATTGACCAGATTTTTGTCTTTTTTTTTTTTTTTTCATATGTAAGCTTTTTGATGAACTTTTTTTGTGGTTCTGGGTTTTAGACTAGGATTTTGTGCTTGTTGGACAGGCACTCTACCACTTGTGCTAAATTCCCTAGCCATTTTTGCGTTTAGTTATATTTCTGATAGGGTCTCATGCTTTTGCCTGTTTTGATACTCCTTCCTCTGCGTCTCCAGAGCTGGATGACAGGTCTCTGCCATTAGACTGGGCTTATTGGTTGAGATTTGACCTCAATTAACTTTTTCCAAAATGGCTTACACCACGAGCCACTATGCCCAGCTTAATGAAGTTTTAAAACAAATCCCAAACACCATGCCATTTATTTTCTACTTAAAAATTTTTTTTTCTCAAGATAGTCAGGGGTACTGTGATGTTTTTCTCTCTTCTTTGATGGAAGAGGGTTGTTGGGGAATGAGCCTAGGGCCTTGAGTGGGCTCAGACTGCCTCTTCCACGGAGCTCTGACTTCAAGGCTGTGTTACCCTGACTTATTCAGTAGGTAACACATGTGCTCACATGGCCCCAGCTGAGTCAACAATGTTTTCATGGTTGGCTTATTTGGTATTATTTTGTGGTAGAAACCAGTTTTTATGTAGCATGTCCAATAGTCTAGATTTGTTGTTGTCTTACGGTGCTCTTGATAATATGAAGGTTCCATTTTCTGAGGGGAAGGTAGGTGTAAGGTTCAGTGTTGAGTCTTCTCTGTGTGGTGTGTTGGATTATGCTAGGAGGCACACAGCATCTGGCCCTGCTTGTGGTTATGGTGAGAATACCAGCTCCAGCCCCATTGTCAAAACTGCTAATCTTTCATGATTGATACTTAGCAACAGTTTTTCATGAGGGCTGTGGTTCCCAAATTCTAGTGTCCTTTAGAATCACTTGCAGAGAACATTTAATAAGACAGATTGCTTGCTGCAGAGTTTCTAATTTAGCAGGTTTTTGGGTTATAGCTTAAGAATTTGCATTTCTCATGCATTCATAAAACCATACCCATGTAATGTCACTGGCCTGGGACCATACATTGAAACTCAGGGTAATTAGCTGTTGAACTAATAATAATTAGCTGATGAGCTAATAAACCACCAGAAAACCAGAAGTGGCGCTGTGTCTCAAGTGGTCGTCTTGAGCTGCCTAGCTGAGGGACAGCGCCCAGGCCCAGAGTTGAAGCCTCACAAATGACCAAAAAAAAGAACAAAAGAAATTCTGGCATTTTGTTTGCCTTTATTAACAGGCATCATTCTGTAAACAATTCTGCAACTTGAGAGGGCTCTTTGGTCATCCTGACCTCGTTTGTACAGCAAACACAGGACAAAAATAATTCTTTCTGGTTCTTACAGACATCAGTACCCTGTTACTACTTCTAACATGGATGTGTGTTTATATGTATATATGTACAAATTCATTCTTTTGTATGTACTTATGTGTATACATAGCTGCATGTATATGACTTACATATGTATGTTGTGTAATGTATTTATTGGACCTATTTGTCTTTTTCGTTGATCACACTGTCTCTTCCTTAATAATGTGGACCCCTTCAAATGTCCTTCCTGTTTAATACAGTAGATAGCTCTACCAAACCTGTTTCTGAGCTAGGTCTGGATCAGGTATTTCTTCCAGAAACTGGTTTCTTTTGCTGAGAAATAGTATTTAGCCATTATTCTCTGGTCATTGGGTATATTTCATATTTCTTCAGAGTTACTTCTTCTAGAGCTTTTCAGTGGACAAAACTAAAATCATCAGTAAAGACAAAATCCAGTACTTCATATTGATAATGCACATTTGGTTTAACATTGTAGGATTTTAACTATGACCTTTTGCCTACTTCTTGTATTTTCTCACCTTAAAAATAGTAACTATTGGGCTGGGAATGTGGCTTGGTGATACAGTGCTTGCCTAGCTCTGGGTTTGGTTCCTCGGTGCCACATACACAGGAAGTGCTGGAAGTGGCGCCGTGGCTCAGCGGTAGAGCGCTCGCCTTGAGCAAAAGAAGCTCAGGGACAGTGCCCAGGCCCCAAAGTTCAAGCTCCAGGACTAGCAAAAAAACAAACCAACAACAAAATAAACCCTTAGTGTCCAGGAACAAAAGAAAAAAAAAGTTAAAAATAGTAACTATTATTTTGTTGCAGAGCAAATTACCCTGTTGCTGGCTGGCTGTGTCTCAGTTCCAGGAGCAGGGTTCCATTGTCAGCATGGCGGTCTGTCTCTGCTCTGGCCTCATGGCAGACAGGACACTAGGGCTGCCGGAGGCTGGAGCCCACATTCATCGCTTCTGGCATCAAGTTCCCGTAGCATAACGTTCTTTCTACTTTGTGGTTTTTGTTGTCAGATTGTTACGATACAGAATTACAATCTTTTTTTTCTATGTACTGTTATTTATTTTTTCTTAGCTTCTACTTTACTACTAAATTTCTAAAGTGTCATTTTCAGAGTGGGGAACTGTTAACCTTGTTGCTTCCAAAATACCATCTTTGAATGCTTGATCAGTAGGTGAGTTAACCTGGTTGAATTTTTTTTCCCCTCTGGTGCTACTGGGATTTGAACTCAGGGCCTCATACTTGCTAAAGAGGTGTCCTACCCCTTAATCACTCTGCCAACCCTTTTAGGTATTTATTTTGGTCATGAGGCTTGAACTCAAGACTTGGGCACTATCCCTGAGCTTCTTTTGCTTTTAAGGCTAGCACTCTACCTCTTGAGCCACAGCTACACTTCTGGCTTTTTGGTGATTAATTGGACGTTAAGAGTCTCATGGACTTTCCTGCCTGGGCTGGCTTTGAACTGTGATCCTCAGATCTCAGCCTCGTGGGTAGCTAGGATTACAAGCATGAGCCACTCACGCCCAGCATGCATTTATTTTTTTTTTTTCCTTGTTGTGAGGCTTGAACTCAGGGCCTGGTACTCTCTCTGATCTAGTGCTCTACCACGTTGAGCCACAGTACTACCTTTGGTTTTCTGGTGGTTAATTGGAGATAATCTAAATTAGAAGGAAATTTGTATCTTCACATTGAAAATCCAAGAAGGGATAGTCAATCTGCAGGAGCAGTTTAAAGTTTTGTATGTCTTTCAGTGTGTGCCTAAGGTTTAATCTTTTTTTTTTTTTGGGTCCGGTAGTGGGGCCTGAACTCTGGGCCTGGGTGCTGTCCCTCAGCTCTTCAGCTCAACACTAGCACTCTATCACTTGAGCCACAGCGCCACTTCTGGCTTTTTTTTTTTTTTCTGCTTATGTGGTGCTGAGGAATCGGAACCCAGGGCCTCATGCATGCAAGGCAAGCGCTCTACCACTGAGCCACCTTCCCAGCCTGGTTTAATCTTTTTTGTTGTTAATGTAAACTGATTTTTCTCTTCCACTGTGTCTTCTAAGTAGTTACTTATGAAGTGCTATATATAAAGACTTTTGTCATGGGTTGATTTTATGTCCTTGTACTAATACTTGACTAAATTCTAAATCTTTGAGGTGTTGGGTGAAAATATTTTTAATGTTTTCAACAATGGGTTCTGAAATTGTCTTACAGTACAAACACTCTCTCGTCTTCTCTGCTGCATCTACATAGCCTATAGGCTGTCACACGGGAAAGTCAACGCTGTAATTTATACACAGCAGCTTTCCTTAGCCACAGCAGCATTGGTATTTGGGACTTGTATTCTTTTTTTTCTGAGGTGAATACATGGATTGTCAGTGCATAGCAGCAGCCTTTGCCTGTACCCATTACATCCCAGGGCTCACGCCACATGCACGCACGCATGCGCACGCTCCCACACACAAGTAAGCCTATCAGTGATGATACCATACATGATACGGTATATTGAGCATACCAGATTATTCTTTGTGCTCTGGAACTTGAAAGTCACAATCACACAAAACAGAATTCAAGATAACCTCAGGTGCTGAGCAGAGAGAAAAGACACACAACAATCTTAGGAGATGGCAAGATTTGACTGAGGAGAGGCCAGTTCTGAGTTGAGCCAGGGCTTTTTTAGGGCAAGGCAGTCCATGTGGAATGGTGCAGGATAGGCAAGAAGTTTTCAGAGCAGGCAGAAGTGAGGGATTGTGCCTGGAAATTGGCTTTTTGTTGCACAGTGTGCTGTGAGATTCTGCATTCAACACAAAGGAAAGATCTGCCGAGGTAGTGGTGGGTGTCAATGCTTACGAGGCTCTTCCGTCATGCTTTTTCTTTTTCCATTTTTTGGAGCCACATCCCCTTCCCCTAGCAAGTGGCAAACAGTTTAGCTATTCCCCCCACCCCTGTGTCTTCTGGTAGAGATAAACTGAGAAGCAGGGGGAAGAAGTCATTGAGCAGTGCGGTGGTGTGTCATGGGTTATGACCCTCCATGCCCAAGGGTCATCCCATGAGGATCCCTGAGCTGACACTTGAAAGTGTCATCTGTGACGAGACTGGTATTTGAGGCTGATGAATAGCAGCCGAGGGAGACAATCACCAGAACGGTAGGAGTGGAGGAGGGGCGGGAGGCTCACGGGAAGCCTTGTGAGGAGTCAGGTCCCCTAGAGCCTTGTAAACTGTGGGAGTGCGTGTTTTGGTTACCTGTTTCATGTGCCATGAATTCTTTTCCTTCTCCTCCTCCCTGCAGTACCAAACATGCCCCAACAACGACAGGACCAGCATCATCAGAGCACCATGATGCACCCAGCCTCGGCGGCAGGCCCGCCCATCGTGGCCACCCCACCAGCCTACTCCACTCAGTACGTGGCCTACAGCCCACAGCAGTTTCCAAATCAGCCCCTCGTTCAGCACGTGCCACACTACCAGTCTCAGGTAAGATACCTTCATGTGGTCAAGGCATTTTCATTTATAGTTTTATGCTTTATACTACAGTGAGGTAGAGAGCTAAGGACTTGGGCCTTTTTAATAGGAGAAAGTGTCAGAATTTTAAAGAAAGGCTTTTTTTTTTTTGTCAGTTGTGGGGTTTGAACTCTGGGCCTGAGCTCTGTCCCTCAGCTCTTTAGCTTAAGGTGAGCGCTCTACCACTTGAGCCACAGAGCCACTTCTGATTTTCTAGTGGTTTATTGGATATAAGAGTTTCACGGATTTTTCTGCCCGAGCTGTCTTTGAACCGTGATCCTCAGATCTCAGCCTCCTAAGTAGCTAGGATGACAGGCATGAGCCACCGACGCCCGGCTAGAAAGGCTTTCTTATGTTCAGTTGTTTCTAGAAAGTGTAGAGATGAGAATGTAAAGTCTGCTTGGCTCTTCTTGGTCTGTTGATGGTTTCCTTTCTTTTCTGTTTGACCCTAGCACCCTCATGTCTACAGCCCTGTGCTACAGGGCAGCGCTAGGATGATGGCGCCGCCAGCACACGCGCAGCCTGGTTTAGTGTCGTCTTCAGCAACTCAGTACGGGGCTCATGAGCAGACGCATGCTATGTATGGTAGGAAGAACTTTGTCTTTCTCACTGTGTGTGATTTTGCTTAACTGGTTTCAAACTCTGTAAATGTGCCCTATTTAAAAATAACCCAAGTCAAGCCGGGCATCAGTGGCTCATGCCTGTCATCCTAGCTACTCAGGAGGCTGAGATCTGAGGATCATGGTTCAAAGCCAGCCCGGGCAGGAAAGTTCGTGATACTATTATCTCCAATAAACCACTCCGAATACTGGAAATGGCACGCTGTGGCTCAAGTGGTAGAGCACTAGCCTTGAGCTGAAGAGCTGAGGGAGAGCAACCAGACCCAGAGTTCAAGCCCCACGACCGACAAAAAAAATTAAAAAGAGTGAAAAAAAAAAAAAAACCGAGCCAATCAGCCGTGCACTGGTGACTCATGTATGTAATCCTAGCTACTCAGGAGGCTGAGAACTATAGTTCAAAGCCAGCCCAGACAGGAAAATTGCTCCATCCTAACATGTCTCTACTGCACCAACTGCAGTATGATGAGGAATAGAGAGAGCATGTAGGAGTGGATTCCTTCTTCCTCCCTGGTTAACTCATCTGGTCTAGCGTGCCTAAGGCATCAGGACCTGTTTACAATAGGAAGATGCCAGAGACGTTCTTTGAGCAGGAAAACTACTCCTTCACAACTTTCTGGGGTGCTAGCATTCCATTACACTTTTAAAATTTTTTATTTTATTTTTGTCAGTCATGGGGCATGAACTCTGGGCCTGGGCTCTGTCCCTGAGCTTGTCAACTCAAGACTAGCACTCTGTGACTTTGAACCATAGCTCTACTTCTGGTTTTCTGGTGGTTGATTGGAGATAAGCAGTCTCGCAGACTTTCCTGCCTGGGCTGGCTTTGAACTGCCATGCCTAGATATCAGTCTCTTGAGTAGCTAGGATTATCGGCGTGAGCCACTGGCACTAAATTTGCACTTTTTTTTTCTTTGTAAATCAGTATTTTTTATAATGATATTGTTTCTATAGCATGTTTTATTGTAAGTGGATGGAATTGGTTAATATTACATACATTTTTATTTTTGGTGATGCTGGGGATTGAACTCAGTGCCTCATGCATGCTAGGCAAGCACTGTACCACTGAGCCTCTTTCATGATTCACACATTAAATATATACTCAACATAAACAATGTTACAGTTAAATGAGTATCTTGTATAATGTTAAACAATACTGTGCCAGGAACCAGAGGCTCATTCTTTTTCTTTCCTTTTCCCTCCCCCCCCTTTTAATTAAAAAAAATTTTTTTGGCAGTCCTGGGACTTGAACTCAGGGCCTGGGCACTGTTCCTGAGCATCTTTTTGCTCAAGACTAGCACTCTACCACTTGAGCAACAGCACCACTTCCCTGTTTTTCTGTGTATGTGGTAATGAGGAATCAAACCCAGGGCTTCATGCATGCTAGGCAAGCGCTCTACCACTGAGCCACATTCCCAGCACAGCAGCTCATTCTTGTAATCCTAGCTACCCAGTGGGCTGAGATTTGAGGATTGTCGTTCAAAGCCAGTCTGGGTAAGAAAGTCCAGACTTATCTCTAATTAATCACCAAAGATCTGCAAGTGGAGCTGTGGCTCAAGTGGTAGATGCTAGCTAGCCTTGTGCCAAAAGTTCAGGAACAGTACCCAGGCCTTGAGTTCAAGCTCCAGGACTGGTCCTCCACCCCCCAAAAAAAAAACACAACAAAACAAGAACAAAAACATTGTACCCACTCTTGGTGCTGGAACTGGGATTATAATCATCCAGAAGGCATTGATCAGGAGGGAGGATTGTGGGTATAATTCATATTGTCCATCTTAGTTTTATGGCCAGGGAACTTTGAAGTAGGTCAACTCAGCTGTTTAAGGCACTAAAGTAACAGCATGTTCCGTGCTAAAAATTTAAGTAAGCTGAGCACTGGTAATCCTAGCTACTCAGGAGTCTGAGATCTGAGGGTTGTGATTCAAAGCTAGCCTGGGCAGTAAAGTCCGTGAGACTCTCATCTCCAATAAACCACCAGAAAACTGGAAGTGGGGCTGTGGCTTAAGTGATAGAGCGCTAACCTTGAGCACAGAGAGGCTCATGGTCCTGAGTTCAAGCCCCAGAACCAAAACCAAATCTGATCTTCCCACATAATCAATTAAAGCTTATTATTAATAATTAACCAACTTGCCCAGCACTGGTGATTCACGCCTGTAATCCTAGCTACCCAAGAGGCTGATGTGTAAGGGTCATGGTTCAAAAGCAGCCTTGGCAGAAAAGTCCTACCAAAAAACTAGAAATGGAGATGTGGGCCAAAGCTGTGCCAGCCCTGAGGAGAAAAGGCTTAGGATAGCGCCCACTCCCTGAGTTCAAGCCCCATGACCAACCAATAATAATAATAATAAGCCAACTAATTTTGTTTTGGGAATCTCATTTTGTTGTTTTGGCATGGTGGTACATGTCTGTAATCCCAGTACTTGGGAGACTGAGAGAGGAGGATCCGTTTGAGACCAGCTTAGACTTATACAGTATACCTTGTCTTAGAAAATCAAAAGGGAGCCGGGTGCTGGTGGCTCATACCTGTAATCCTAGCTACTCAGGAGGCTGAGATCTGAGGATCGCGGTTCAAAGCCAGCCCGGGCAAGAGAGACCATGAGACTCCTATCTCCAATAAACCACCAGAAAACCGGAAATGGCGCTGTAGCTCAAGTGGTAGAGCGCTCACCTTGAGCTGAAGAGCTGAGGGACAGCGCCCAGGCCCAGAGTTCAAACCCCATGACGGACCAAAAAAAGAAAATCAAAAGGGCTGGAAGTATCAGTTGGACCTGTGGAGCGAGCACTTGCCTAGCAAGCATGAGCCCCTGAGTTAAAACTTCAGTACCATCCCAAAGAAGAAAGTTAAAAAAGTTCAGAAGAAATAAAGAATAGTTTAACTGAAAATTAGTGACTGGGTGGTTTGGCTTATGTTGTCACATCTCTCCTGCTTGTTGTAACCAGGCTAGGAATGTGTGAAGATGCTGTGGGTTCTTCTTTTTTCTTTTGTGGTTTTTTTTTTTTGGCGGGGGGGTGTTTCTGTGGCTTGAACTCAGAGCCTGGGCTCTGTCCCTGAGCTTCTTTATGCTCAAGGTTAGCACTTGAGCCACAGCACCATTTCTGGCCTTTTCTGAGTAGTTTATTGGAGATAAGAGTCTCACAGCCTTTCCTGCCCAGGCTGGCTTTGAACCACAGTCCTCAGATCTCAGCCTCCTGAGCTGGTGTTGACAGGCAGGAGTCGTGGTTCTTTGTGCCCCTTCCATGTAACTGCGCTCATTTGCAGCTTTCCATTCTGCTAAAGTCTCCTCTGAATTCTGCTTGTTTCTTTTTTTAAATGTATTTATTTATTTTGTCGAAGGGCTTGAACTGTGGGCCTGGGCACTGTCCCTGAGCTCTTCAGCTCAAGGCTGGTGCTCTACTACTTGAGCCACAGTGCCACTTCCATTTTTCTGGTGGTTCATTGGAGATGGGAGTCTCACAGACTTTTTCCTGCCAGGCTGGCTTTAAACTGTGATCCTTAGATCTCAGTTCCTGAATAGCTAGGGTTACAGGCGTGAGCCACAAGCGCCCAGGTAATAGTTTTTAATTATGGTAAAGGTGATGAACAGAGGTGTTACAGTTACATAAGTCAGGTAATGAGTATGTATTTCTTTGAACAGTGTCACCCTCTTCCCTCATTTTCTCAAAGATTGCCCCAGCCCTCTCTGCTTGTTCCTATGTAGATTCAAAGCTAGATCATTTCCATCTGGGATGTGTATGACTTTGTAGTGTTCTGGCTATCTTGGGATGGACTTCAGCTACGAACTCATCCCTGACTTGAGGCTGGCATTCATCATTGCCACTCTCTGCCTAAGAAGTTATGTCATTTTTGTCTCTCACCCCAGTCCTGGTTTATGGTGATGCTCTTGCTACTCTGTACTGAGGACAGAGACACCAGAAGAGTCAGAGCTGGGCTCTTCTTTGATCTGCTTTTTAGTAGCTTGCTGATGATCCCCTAAAACCATACACACACCCCACCCCCATGTGCAGACACAGTTTATTAAGAAATGGTAACAAACTCATGCTTTTATTAATCCTAAGCTTTTGGATCTACTACCAGATTCCTGTAATAACATTTCTATTATTTGTGCATCTTGAACACTAAAATGCTATTTGATTTGGGTACAATTATATAAACATTGTTCAATGAAATGTTGATCTTTTTAACCAGACAATTATTTCATTGCTTTTGTTTAAGCTATCAGCATGTGGAACTTGCTAGCTCAGTACAGAGGGAAAAAAAATGTCTTCCTGGTCAGTCTGTCTGCAAATTTTGTTTAAAATGCCCAGCTTCTCTTGTAAAGTCAAAATGAATTATGCATGAATACAAAAATATTACTAAATATGTCAACCTTTCCAGAAAATTAGGAGAATGCACACCTCAAAAGGCTAATTTACCTTTCTATTTCCAAATTTAGCATGTCCCAAATTACCGTACAACAAGGAGACAAGCCCTTCTTTCTACTTTGCCAGTGAGTTGGGTTTTTTATACTAATTTTAATTGCACAGTAAAACACTTTTTAAAGAATACATGTTAAAGGGAGCAGACCTATTGGACAGTATTTTCCTTGTGCCAGACCAAAATCATTAAAAATATATATATCTGTAAATCATTCAGACTTTTGAAAAAGGAAATATAACCCAGCTTAAGAAAGCTGGAGTTAATAAAAAAATTATGTTGTTTCGGACATTAATTTTTGCATACCAAGCTAACACAAAACTGTTTGGGAAATGCCTGATGCTTTTCTTGGTCAGTAAAACCTTTCTGAACAGCTATTTTATACCAAGCTAGAGTTTTAAGGCAGTAGTGGTTTGAGTATCCTGACAGGAAAGAAATTCACTCCTCCCAGCATGCTTCATTGACCAGGGTTGCCGAGCTAGATAGCTGGGGAGGACCGCCTGTGTGTGGCTGCCGTTTTAAACCCTGGACCAGACACGTTCAGGAGGTGCCGAGCCCGTGGAGGCTGCCTGTGGCTGCATGTGGCCTCTCCCTCTGGGATGGTCCTTCAGACATGTTTTCCCACCTGATGCGGGGCAAGCTGCTGCATGTCGGCAGGGGACTAGCAGGCCCACTGGGCACCATGTTGTTCCCTGGGTCACTCTGGAATTCTTGTTACTAGGATTTTTCGAGTCACTTGGTATCTGACTACTGCATGCCAGATTCAACTGTGTAAAACATTTTGATCTTAAATTTTTGTTAATTGTGCCATGACTTGGTATCCAAAAATAAACTTATAAAATTAGTATTTATTTACTTATTTGGTGCTAAGAAGTGTTCATGAATTTAATCCTTTAATAGATTCTCTTTAAAAAGGAGTCTTGCTGTATATGTATACTATTAAAAGGAAACTGTCTGTGATTACAGTGTGTAAAAGATAGTGTCAGTGGTTAACTTTATTACATAGCAATTTGAGCTCTGATGGACTTATTCTCACTATCTTACTGTCTTAGTACTTAGTCATTTCCCGGGTAAGTTGACAAAGGGTCTGTAAATGGAACTCTGTTGGGCAGCTGTAATTAAGTGGAGCTTATTTTCCACTTTTGAGCCATCTTTGATGGATTGTTTGCCAGTTTGATTCACTTCCCCTTCTTCCCCTTTTTTGAATCCAACATAGGGTTTAGGAGTTGAAAAATTCTGGGGCTGGGAAGGTGGCTCAGTGGTAGAGTGCTTGCCTTGCATGCATGAGGCCCTGGGTTCAATTCCTCAGCACCGCATAAGCAGAAAAGCTGAGGGGTTGGGGGTTTAGCCTAGCGGAAGGTCGCCCACCCGGCGCACGCAAGGCCCTGGGTTCAGTCCTCAGCCCTGGAAAAAAGAAAAGAAAAGAAAAAGCCGAAATGGCACTGTGGACCAAGTGGTAGAGCGCTAGCCTTGAGCTGAAGAGATGAGGGACAGCGCCCAAGCTCAGAGTTCAGGCCTCATGACCGATAAAAAAAAAAAAAACAAAGAGGGAGGGAGAGCTGAAAGATTGTGTTTTGTTTCATGTTTAATGTGTGCGCTGCTGGTGACAGCTCATGACTTGTGTCTCCAAGGTGAACGTGTGACACTCTAGTCAGAACAGGTCTACTACTGCCTGGGCTGGCTTCCCTTAGGATCATGACTTAGGAGAATAGGTAGCTATTTTCAGAATGTGGTTTACGTTGTGATGAGTGGTGTGATTCGAATTTCAAATATTGATGCCAAGGGTCATGTGGGGTAGGAGAATTTGACCCACCTTGGTCGAATTCAGACTGCATGAAGGCCACATGAGTTCAACTGATGCATGAACAGGTCTGGTGGGAGAGTCCCGGAGTTGAGCTCACAAGGACCGCCCCTCCTGCTGCTAGCTCACCCCCTCCCTTCCTGCGCTTGCTTATTCTTACTAATGTGCGCGCGCTCTTTCTCTCCCTCTCTCCTTCCCTTCCTCCCTTCCCCTGCTTCCCTCTCTCCTCTCCCTCTCTCCCCCTCTTTCCACCCTTCCTCTTTCTCTCCCTCTCTTTAGCAGTTCTGGGGTTTGAACTCAGCCTCCCGCTTGATGGGCCAAGTGTTCTGCTACTCGAGCCACACCCCAGCTTTTCCCCATTAATTTTCTCCTCTCCTTTTGTGTCACTTTTAAATGGGCTTTCTAAGAACTATGTTAGAGTCAAATTACAATTTTCTCAATTACCATTTACATCTTATGAGCTAAATGGAAAAAACAAAAACTAATTCCATGTCACATCACCTTGCTTTTTTTTTTTTTTCTTTGCTAGTAGTTCTTTCAGGTAATAAGATGGATTTGTTTGTGAGTTGTGATAGAGTTCATGTAGAATCAACACAGCTTGGTTCCTTGCAGTGTTTGTGCTATACATGCAGTCAGCTCTAGATTCTAGTACTCCATTTTATGTTCATCTTATATTGGCAAATTTACACTACCCAAGTTATTTTTTTAAACTGCCCGGTGAGGACTTGACACTGTGGCTCACAGTGGTAGAGCACTTGCCTTGAGCAAAAGAGCTCAGGGACAGTGCCCAGGCCATGAGTTCAAGACCCATGACCAACAAAAGGAGAAAGAAATAAATGCACTGTGAAAGTGTGCTCCACTTACTTGGAAAACTGAATCGAGGAAGATGACTTGTTCCCAGGATTCCAAGGCCAGCCCGGACCACATCACAGAGACTTCATCTCCAAAAAGAGGAAAATCATCAATCATGAAGACATGACTGAGCTGGGGTGTGTAGCTCAGTGAGTGACAGACAGAACAGGCTTAACATGCTGGGCACTGAGAAGCCAGTGCTGCTGGCCACAGAGCGGGACCTTGTCCTAACACACTACCCTCAGAAAAGCTTTCACCTTTAATTGTAATTTCAACATTTTCACATTGTCCCAGTTGATAAAAATGTAATTATGATAATTGGCAATAGCCATGTTGCAGCAGCCAGGCACCGTGGCTCCTGCCTCTGATGCTAGCTACTCAGAAGGCTCAGATCTCCGAATCGAAGCTAGCTCGTGGAGAAAACATAACTGAGAGGTGCTGTCGCCAGTGAACAGCGATGCTGTCCCAAGCTGTGGCTCAAGTGGTACAGCACCAGCCATGAACGAAAACGCCAAGCAAGAACACCAGGCTTTGGCACAAGCCTTGGCACTGGCACAACATTTAACCAGTTGATTAATTAACAATCCACCACTCCACTAGAAGCCTTTTGCAAAATCTTAATACTTTGCTTAGAAGTAATTAAAAATGGAATTTGAGCCCAGTGTTGGTGGCTTATGACTGTAAAACTAGCTACTTAGGAGACTGAAATCTGAGGATCAGCCCAGGCAGGAAAGTCTGTGAGACTTTTATCTCGAATAAACTACCAAAAAGCTGGAAATGGAACTGTGGTTCAAGTGGTGGAGTTTTGCCTTAGCAAAAGAAGGTCCGGGACAACAAGAAAAAGTTTAGCTGGGCACTGGTGGCTCACGCGGACAATCCTAGCTCCTCAGGAGGCTGAGATCGAGGATCATGGCTCAGAGCCAGCCCTGGCAGGAAAGTCTGTGAGACTCGATCTCAGAAGTATCAGAGCTGTGGCTCAAATGATAGAGCACCATCCTTGAGCAACAAAGCTCAGGGACAATGCCCAGGTCCTGGGTTCAAGCCCCAAAAAAGATCTTTACAAGAACCACCAAGAATCAAACTTTAGTTGTTCTCAATGTCTTTTGTTTTGAGATGAGATCTTGCGTTGTCCAGGCTGGTCTCAAACCGTTATCCTGCTTGAGCCTTTTGAGCAGTGGGGACTGCAGTCGTGCATCACTGAACCCAGCCTTGTGTCAGACCAGTGCAAGTGACAGCTTGTCTTAAAACCCATAAACTTGGTATGGCGGTGTGGTGAAGGACGGTCTGAGAAAAAAAATCCTTTTTCCAAGAAGTCCCACCGGTTGGCACTGTGGTTCCCATGAAGGCTATTTGTCACCTCTCCAAAAGTTACTAGTCCCAGAGGTGATTACGGTAAAGTGTCTGTGCGCACGGGCGCCTTGAGTTTAGAGCATTCTGCTCCCTCTAAACTAGGAATCAAGGAACACTGGTGCTGGCTGTGGACACTCTGCCTTGCCTTTCCCCTTCCTCCCCCTCCAGAAAGGCACATTCATGGCTGGACAAGGCCCCGCCGGAGCTAGAGTCCTCTATCCTGCTTCCCTCCAGCTAGGATGGGCCACAGGCTGAGCCCGCCTGACCCCGAAGCGTGCTGGCTCCTGTCCTCACTGCTGTGGGCTCGGCTCAAAGCAGTCACTGTGCCCATCTCTGAGGAGTCTGGCAGCAGGCATTGCCTGAGCCGCTCAGCGCTCCGCGCACTGCGGGCTCCTCCGTCCCCGAGCCGTGCGGCCTCTTCCTAGCCTTTCAGTTCTTGGAGTTGCTGTTTTGGGAAGCCAGGGACAAATGACTTCGTTCCTCATATCCCTGTTTTGTACCAAGTTATGACTCAAGACTGACATGCATGAAATTTTATCTTAGTGACCACATTTCTACTAAATGGCCATCATACTTCCTTTGAACTTACTCTAGGAAAATTCTGAGGGGTTTGAGCTCTTTTGAAGGGGTCCCGATTTTATATACATTAGGCAGTTTCGTAGATGTTATAATCTAGGAAACCTATGAGGAGTCTCATCAGGGCTGCAGGGAACAAGCTGGAGTGTGGATGCTCCCGATGGCTTAGAAGGGGCTCATTTGATTTGACCCCACGACAAACAGCCCGTGTCTCTCCAGTGTGGCTGTGTGCACGCGTGCGCCTGTCACTGCGGCTCCAGGCGGCAACATGGTGGGGTTAGCCAGGTGGCCCCTTGTGACTGGCAGACATTGTGTCCTCAGGTTGCCAGCACAGTTGGAGTTGGTTTTGCCCACATTTCAAAGTTGCCTTTGAAGGATGCAGTTAACATTTCAGAGTAGTCGAGTCACATGCTAGTCTGATGGTCAGGAAGAGACTGCGGTCCTCATTTTCCGAGCTGGAGGAGGAGGTGGCTGTGGAGGAGGCGGCAGCGCGGGGCGGCGCAGCGCGGCTGTCAGGCCGCTCGCTCGGCTGTCAGGCAGCTCGGGAAGGAGGCAGGCTCTGTGCGGTGGGTTCGGCCGCCATGCGGCCATTGTGCATGCTCTTTTCCTCTCTCTAGTTTCCACAGGCTCCCTCGCTCAGCAGTACGCGCACCCCAGCGCTACCCTGCACCCCCATCCTCCACACCCTCAGCCCTCAGCCACCCCCACGGGACAGCAACAGAGCCAGCACGGCGGAAGTCACCCTGCACCCAGTCCTGTTCAGGTGAGCAGAGTCCGGGCCTTTTGGCTTCTCCACACAGAGGTGATGAGAACCCAGCAGCGCAGCTACACCCCGCCCCTTGCTCGGACCCCGCACGCCCCCACTTGAGCCTGTGTCCTCTCTACACGCCCCTGGGAGGAGGGCGGAGCTCAGAAGCAGCGCCTTAGGGACCTAGGCAGACCAGCGTGATTGGACCAAATGGAACTTACTGATGTTGGAAATCAAATGCAAAGCTCCTAGTTTGTTTGTTTGTTTGTTTGTTTGTTGGGGGGGGTCCGGTCGTGGGGCCTGAACTCTGGGCCTGGGCGCTGTCCCTCAGCTCTTCAGCTCAAGGCTAGCACTCTACCACTTGAGCCACAGCGCCACTTCCGGCTTTTTTCTTTCTGCTTATGTGGTACTGAGGAATTGAACCCAGGGCCTCATGCATGCAAGGCAAGCGCTCTACCACTGAGCCACCTTCCCAGCCCTCCTAGTTTAATATAAAGCAAATTCTTACTTGCTTGGGACGTTGTTTCATTCTTAAAGTTTATATGCTAAGCTTTTTCGTATTTGGGAACTAGTCCTGGGGCTTGAGCTCAGGGTCGGGGCATTGTTCTTGAGCACATGTTTGCTCAAGGCTAGCACCACAGCTCCACCGACTTTTTTTTGAGTCGTTATTTTAGATAAGTCTCATGACCTTTCCTGCCCGGGCTGCCTTTGAACCTTGGTCCTCAGATCTCAGCCTCCTGTGTAGCCAGCATTACAGATGGGAGCCGCCAGCGCCCGGCTGGTGCTATGGCTCAAGTTGTAGAGTGCTAGTGGTGAGCAGAAAAAAGCTCCGGGACAGCGCCTAGGCCCTGAGCTCAAGCCCCAGGACAAGTCCAGAAAATAGTTTCGCAGACGTTTCTGCCCACGTTGGCTTTGAGGAGGAGATGACAGCTGAGCAGTTGGGCTTCCAGGTGTGAGCCATGGACCCCCATTCCCCCATCCCGCCCCCTGCCCCTCCCCGCCCGCCCCCGCGCCCCCCGTGGTGTGTGCTAATGAAAGAAATAGGGAGTGTGTCTGTGGGCGGTGCATAGCTTCCCTCCTCAGCTCCGCTCTTCCCTCTTCCTATCCAGCATCATCAGCACCAGGCCGCCCAGGCTCTCCACCTGGCCAGCCCACAGCAACAACCAGCTATTTACCACGCGGGGCTGGCGCCCACCCCACCCGCCATGACGCCAGCCTCCAACACACAGTCGCCACAGAACAGTTTCCCCACAGCACAACAGACGGTGTTCACCATCCATCCTTCTCACGTCCAGCCGGCATACGCCAACCCACCACACATGGCCCACGTACCTCAGGTAAACCGGCGCGCGCCGCCGCCCTGTGCACACCGAGTGGGAGCTGGTGGTGATGAGATGCGCGGCCTGGAGCCAGTGATCTCCCAGCCAGGAGTCCTGTGTGTGGTGCCACCCGCCCGTCTCCCTCCCCGCTCGGCGCAGTGGCCTGGCCCTCAGTGATCGTGTCGTGGCTTTGTGCTGAGATCAGTGGAGTTGTGATTGGCCCGTCCTGTGACGTTCCCCAGCTCAGTGGAGTTGTGATTGGCCAGTCTTGTGACGTTCCCCAGCTCAGAATGCACCCAGTCCTTCCTTCCTTCCTTCCTTCCTGTGTCTGCTTTGCTCCGTGTAAGCTTCACTACTGTGTATGTATGTGCGCACACACACACGCGCGCGCGTGCACGCACACACAAGGCAGAGTGGGTAGGCTTTTGCAGAGGGAGTCTCAGCAATAAGGTAGCTACACTAGGCTTGTCAGCTCGAGTCCATCACAGAGTTTCAGAGAAGTGTGTCTAGTTGTGTGCCCGGTGCCCTCCCTCCTCTGACCATGTCCGGTAGGGTGAAGGCGTGGCTTGGTACTCGGTGCAGTGTTGGCTGGAGGCTCACAGATGTCCGTCTCCCTGCAGAGCAGCCCTGCCGTGCCCGGGGCTCAGCTGGCAGTGGAGAGGTGTGGTTGCTGTGTGGTCAGCTGTGCGGGGCAAGGGTGGACTGAGCTTGAGGATCGGGCGCTGGCGCTGGGCTGTCCTGGAGGCCCAGGCGCTGTGAGGTGAACTGGCGTTGGCAGAGGTCCCCGCTGCTCCCGCGCTCGCCTCTTGGAGTTACCCAACTCCAGCTCCTGGCAAGAGTGCACAGGGAGGCTTTGGCCCGGCGTGGCCTAGAGGTGTGGCGCACCTGCAGATCCCAGGTTCCGTGGTAGATGCTGAGGAGGCCCGGCCTCTCCTGGGGTGCGTGGCCAGCCAGCTGGCATGCTCAGCGTAGCCGCTTGCTTGGTGCCATCAGCTTCCTGGCGCTGCGTCCCGTGGAGGCCACGCAGCCTGGTGGCTCTGTCGGCGTGGGGCCTTCCGTGCAGGGTGGGGTCCCCACAAGCAAGCAGCTTACCCCAGGGCGGCGCACACGTGGCCGGGGCCCATTCAGATGTGTGGACTTGAGGCTTGTGTGTGGAGCGTGGCGCAGCCTGGGAGGCAGGCAGGACCCCGCAGCCTGGGCTCGCTGAGGCCGCCTGCCAGCCTGAAATGATGAGGACCCTTTCTATCCCCCCAGTGTTCCCCAGCTTCCTCCTCCTGCCCCACAGGGAGGGCGCCGAGGAGAGGCCGCGGCCCTGTCCACCGCGCAGGCCGCGGCCCTGTCCACCGCGCAGGCCGGCCTCTGCCCTCCTGCTCGGGGCAGTGTTCTTGGAAAGCGCGTCCGGCCTGCTGGCGGCGTGGGCTGAACTCTTGCCCTGGTCTAGGGAGGCACCAGGCCTGCACTGGGTCGCGTCCGTGTCCCTGTCCCAGGTGGAGAGGACGTGGTCAGACTGGCTGTGGGCAGCTGGCACCGGCAGCCGGCTGTGTCCTGGGCTCCTCCTCCACCCCGCAGGACCCACCCAAGGGGAAACAGGGCCTGGCCCCAAGCAAACAAGGGCCCTGAGGCCCGCTCCCGCCCTTCCCTGCCAGCCCGGCCCGGCCCCGGCTCCCCTGCACCCCACCCCACCCCCGCCCCACCCAGCGAAAGGAACACAGTGACATGTTGTTGAAGCCGGAGATGTTGCCTGTATGCGTAAAAGAGCTCTCTGTTTCAGGCCCATGTACAGTCAGGAATGGTTCCTTCTCATCCAACTGCCCATGCGCCAATGATGCTAATGACGACACCGCCACCTGGCGGCCCCCAGGCCGCCCTCGCTCAAAGTGCACTACAGCCCATTCCAGTCTCGACAACAGCGCATTTCCCCTATATGACGCACCCTTCAGGTGAGGCCTGTGTGTGCAGGGGCCGCCGGGGCACCCCAGCATTCCGCTCGCACAGTTCCATTGCAGGCAGGGCCGGCGCTTCACGCCCCACACCCCAGAGTAGCGAGACCCATCCGAGTGCGCGCCCAGGTCAGCGCAGGGCCCCGGCCAGGAGCCGAGTGTGTGTGTTCTGATGGTACAGGGTGCTGGAGCGGCACCAGTGGTAGCTGGCGCAGGCCGAGGACTCAGTTGGCCTTCGTGTTACGGCAGGCTGGACAGGGCGGTGTGTCCCCCGAGTCCCGGCAGGCTGACAACGCAGGGGGTTATGAGCAGGTGGCTTGGCGGAGAGCACGTGCGCCCGTGCTGTGTGTGGACTGGTGGAGTGCAGGGTCGGCCCCAGCCCGCGCCCGACGGGAGGATGCCCGCGGTGTCTCGTATGGCTGGCTGCATGGCAGTCACAGCAACACTGGTGCTTGGCTAGCATTCGAGGTGGGGGCGTTAAGGCCCCCTCTCCTGCCCTATGAGCAGCAAGTCTTCTGGGAGATTTATCTGCAGTGGTTTCATGTCTGACTGGTTCGTTTCTCCCCCACCCCACGCCACCCCACCCCACCCCACTCCACCGCGGTGCAGATGGGAGGGGGCGCGCTGAACCTCGGTCTTGCGCAGCTAGCTCCAGGATAGTTGGCAGTTGGCTGCAGAGACACTAGGCTGGTGTGCAAAGGCGCCAGTGGTGTTTAAATGTGCACTTTTCTTTCTTACAGTGCAAGCCCACCACCAGCAGCTGTAAGGCTGCCCTGGAGGACCCGAAAAGCCAAATCCCCTCCTCCCTTCTACTGCTTCTTCCGACTGGAAGCACGGAAAACTAGTTTCACTTATTTCGGTTTTTAAACAATATACATTGATTTCTTGTAACATCCAATAGGAATGCTAACAGTTCACTTGCAGTGGGAGGTATGTGGACGAGTTTAGGAACTTGTGGGCTGCTCCATAATCCCATGCTGTTCCAAAGCCCCCAAGTGCCCAGCTCTGCTTGCCGAAACTGGAAGTTATTTATTTTATAACGGTCCTTGAAAGTCATGAACACATCAGCTAGCAAAACAAGTAACGAGTGGTTCTTGCTGCTATTACCGCTTTTAAAAGAAAATAAATCAAGACTCGGAACGCCCTTTTACTAAACTTGACAGAGGCTCAGTAAATTCTTACCATCAAACTGATGGCTTATTATTTATAAATCAAGTTTGATGAGGCGATCACTGTCCACAGTGGTTCAACTTTTAAGTTAAGGGAAATCTTTTACTTTGTAGATAATATAAAATAAAAACTAAAAAAAAAATTAAAAAATAAAAAAAGTTTTAAAAACTGCTACCAAATTGGTGTGTGTATGTGTGTGTGTATGTATGTGTCTGTGTGTGTGTCTGTCTGTCTGTGTGGACGGGGGCAGGCCACGGCTGCCCAGTGAGGCGGTTGGAATGCCTTCTCTTCTTCCTTCCCCTTCAGTGCCAGCTCGCGTGTCTAGGGAAAGGCGAGGCTGAGGTCCCTGTCCCCTGGGTGGACCAGCAGTCGCAGCGGCAGAAGAAGGCTGGCCAGAGCTGGGCAGCACTGAGGCCGCACCGCTGTAAGCTCCCTTGCTTTCCTCCCTCTGGCCCCTGTGCACGTGTGTGCGGCGCGTGTCCAGGCGTGCCTGTCACCCTTTGGTGCCAGGGAACACTTTAGACATAGTGTGGCCTCCTCTGAGAATTTGCTGCTACCTGATTTGTGGGAAGGCGATGGGGCCTGGGGGGTCTGGAGCCAGGGCAAGGATGGATCGGGATCAGCCAAACAATAACAGATGGAGATTCTGAAAACCTTTTTTAATTCACATAGAACAATTTGTACATTATAGCAAAATGTGCATTTCAAGAATAAGTTACTGGTACAGTACATAAACAATACATAAGAATTGACCAAATGCCTTCTGCCCTGTCATAAGAGGAGCCCAGCCACACCGCACAGCACTCGCGGCCTTGTCAGGAGGTGGTGGGTAAATACGGTGGAAATGTTAGTGCTAACTTGATGCTTTGTTAAGGCCGCCTGAGTGAAGGGACGGCCGAGAGGACCCCAAGCCGCCCTCAGAACCGCAAGGCCTGCACGGAGGTTGTGTGAAAATAGTGTTCTCTGGCCCCCGAGATTTTAACAATTGTTATTCCTCTCTCCTGCATGGTCCAGACATGATCAAAGGCAGAAGATTTATCCCATAGAAAGCCGTATGGATTGCTGGTCTAAAATTCAAGGCAGGTTAGTTGACTTAATTCTTTGGTGCTGGTGACTGAAGTCCAGTGGGCAGGTGGCGTGGAGGTGCTTGCGGCCGCCGACTCCTGACAACTGGTGGGTGGCCCTGCGCGCACTGCCCAGTTTGGCACAGAGCTGAGCTCCTAGTGCTGGAAGCTGCCAGTCCGGCCCCAGGGGCCAGGAGAGGACACATGAGGAAGGGCAGGAGGCAGGGCCTGGGCACTGTCCCTGAGCTTTTTTGCTCAAAGCTAGTGCTCTGCCACTTGAACCCCATTTCCACCTCCAGATTTTTGCTGGCTAACTGAAGGCTTTGCTTTCCTGCCTGCCTGTGAGCTGAGAGCTGAGCAGCTAGGGTTACAGGAATGAGCCACGGGTGCTCAGCTATAGTAGTAATTTTAGAGAAACCTGCTTAGAGAAGATGGTGGCGTCTTTAAGGACTGGAGCGCAGGGCTGATCTGCTTCTTGATTCAGGGGAGCGGTAGGAAGTGGGCCGTGAGTTGAGCAGCCGGCTGCTGGGGGGGTCGCAGTGGCCCTGTCTGACTGTGGGGCTGTCTTGTGCCTGGCGGCTCTGCTGGGGCCTGACCCCTGCCAACAACGCCACTTGCGGCGATGGCTGTGGCTGCCGCCGCCCCACTGAAGCAGCTGCCTGCGGGCGGGCAGCCGCTCTGGTGTGCCAGCTCTCTGGTTCTACTGTGGTTCAGAAAGGGACCTAGAGCCCATTTCTGAGATAAGTTTACAAGCCGGCAGCGCCCTGGAGCCCTCTTCCTTTGTGCTTGTCTCCCTCCAAAAAGCCGCTGTCCACTAGAACACAGTTCTTTATTCATAAGGCACCAGGTAGGCCTGCTCCTCGCCACCCGCAAGGGTGCCGCTCACAGCTCTGCAGCGGCTGCACAGCAGCCCTGTCCGAGTGCAGCAGTGCCCTGAAGGGAGCCATGGTTTAGTTTGGAAACCTGAATCCTTTAGAAAGCTAACCTGAGGTAAAATGTTTAAAGTCGTTTGGCCCTCGAACAGAGCTCCTGTCCTGAAGCTGGGGGGGGGGGAGAAGCGGGGGGGGGGGGATCTCCCGTGTCAGGTGGGCCTGCCATAGACGTGCAGCAGCTACACAGGGGAAGCCACGGGAGGATCCTGGCTTGTTAGTGTTTTGGGCTTCCTGGTGCCATCCCCAGTGGGAAGCCCATGGTGGGCTGTGAGATCTGTGGCCGGGGGAGGAGCCTCGTGGCGCCCCGCCCTCACCCCTCCACCTGTGAAGCTCCAGGACTGGTCCCTAGGGCCAGGAGAGGAGCTAGCCGCAGCGTCGGCCGACAAGAACATCTGTAAACAGCTGAGACCGTGAGGCAGGCTGCTGGCAGAGGGTGGCCCCCAGTCACACTGGGCCGCTCACAGCGGCGTGTACTGGTTGTCCACCGCCCGCAGGTGGCCCTGGGAGGCAGAGTCCATCTCATAGTCCGAGCCCCGGGCGCCACCCCCAGCCGCTGGCTCCAGGTGCCGCAGGCTGCGCGCTAGCTCCTCGGGCGAAGGCACCAGGTGGAAGATCTGCTCTGGGGGAGACACGCGGCCGGACAAGGCCTCCGCACTGAGCCCACGCGGGCAGTCCGTCGGGCCGAGGTGGGGAAGGCCCAGCTCCGAGTCCCAGCGGGGGAGGGGGAGGGGGAAGAAGACAGTGCTGCAGGAGCCTGGACGGGCGACAGAGCACGCCATGAGTCCCCGGCACAGCGCGTGCAAAGCACCCAGCCCTGCTGCTCCCCGCCACGAGCCGGGACAGGCTTTGGGTCCCACCTGGCGGCTGGGAGACGACCACCACGTAGCTGGAGAGCCGGACGTCGCAGGTGGCCCCACACTCGAGCGGGATGGGCGAGCGCTGGAAGTGGTGCAGCATGGCGAGCACCGAGGGGAAGCGCAGGTGCTGCACACGGCACTGGCCGCGCTCCGACAGGGACAGGCGCAGGTGCTGCGACGACAGCAGCGGGGCCGGTGGGCCGCTGCCCCCCTGCCGCGCCGCCGGGGCCTCGGGAGCCCAGCCGCCCCTCACCCCCCTACCTTGGCTCGGCCCTGGAAGTTGAAGGTGAGCACGTACTCCCCGCGCCGGGACTCGCTTTGGCGCACCAGGAACACGCCATGCGCGTCGGCGCCCTGCACCTGCACCAGCTGCGCCGCCCTCACCCTGGAGATGGCGCCGTGGAACCAGGGGTAGCAGGACAGAAAGCGGGTGGTCTTTTGGCAGGCCGGCTCGGGCAGTGTCCCAGGAAACACGCCTGGCGGGGAAGAGGGCCGTGAGCAGCTCCTCACCCCCCACCCCCGCCCGGCGCACGCAGAGAAGGGAGGCCGTGATCCCACCTGTGTCCAGGGAGTCCATGCTCCCCTGCGGGCAGCTGGGGGGGCCGGGCTCCCCTGGGGGAGGGGCCGCCTCCACGTCCACACCGTCCAGCCTGTGAAGGAGAAGCTGGCATGAGACGCGGGGTGGGGCGGGGCGCGAGGGCGGCAGCTAAAGCTGGGGTGCAGCTCACCCTGGGCAGTCCCGGAGCTCTGCCATCCAGGAGTTGAGCTGCTGCTCATCTGCCACCTCAAAGATGATGTCTGTCTGGTCTTCCACCTGGCAGGGCGGGAGGGGTGAGCAGATGGGCTTTCCACGGGGCACGCTCCCATTCACGGTGAAGGCGCGCAGGTTGTCATGGCGGAGAGGAGGGGTGGACAGGTGAGGGGGGGCGGGGCTCCCCTTGGGGCGGGGCACACTCATTCACCTTCAGCACGAAGGTGTGCAGGTTGTCGGGCATCTCCAGCCGGGTGCAGCGCCGGACCTCGCGGATGCTGGAGCAGGCCGCCTGCAGCTTGGGCTTGGAGCTCTAGAGGAGGAGGCGCACAAGGCTCGGCTCTGCTGCCGGGCAGGCGGGGCTGCCCACACCGCCACCCATCGCCAGACATGGGGCCACAGCACTCAGAGCATCGCAACTGCCGCGCGTGCACGGATCACCCGCAGCTGTGACACCCGAGCCAGGCTCCGGAGTGCGCCCTCCTGACACTGCATCATGGCCCTGTGGACTCAGAAGCCAGGAGCCAACCAAGGCTTCCCACGGAGCACCAGGGCCCCAGCGGGGGGCGCAGCCCTCCAGGTGCGTCCCCGCCGCTGCCGCCGCCAGCTCTCTGTGTTTTGCCAAGGAACACAGCAGATGGCCTCCCTGTGTTCCACACGAGCACAGGCCCCCGTGTGCACGGCAGGCAGGCTGCCCGCCACTGCACTCGGAGAAAGCCGCTGGTGAAAGGCTTAGGCCTCAGCCGCCTGCTCGACCCCTCCACACCCTGCCTGGCTCAGTGGGGTGCGCTCAGTCTCCTCACACGGGCAGCGCGCGTGGCACAGCGGGGAAGTGCATCTGCTCGGTAGACCCCACATGCTTGGGTCCACATGGGCAGCTGAGCCCTGACACCGCGACTCTCCCTCCCCACCCCACCCCCCCACACAGAGGGGCCAAGCCACAGGGCCCGCCTCCCTGATGTGCAAAGCTAGCATGGGCCCCGCGGCCGGGCACCCCAAACCAGGAAGACCCTTGTGTGGGCTCCAGTCCTGGGGCGCTTGAACTAGAGGCCTGAGTGCTGTCCCCCGGGCTGCTCTGCCAGTTAGCCCCAATAACGGCTTTTTTTTTTTTTTTTTGGTGGTTAATAGGAGATAAGAGCTTCACAGACTCAGCTGACATTCAGGCACGGAGCTCTGGGCATTAGAGCCCCACGTCACCCCTGGACTGACTGTGTCAACCTGCAATGCCCCCTAGGACCTGGACACCCCAGTTGGCAGGACTCCCCACCACCCACTGTCCCCCTCCACCACAGATGCAGCCATCCAACTCCAGACGCCCCCTCCCTCCGGCCAAGCAGTGCCCAGCGCACACGAGGAAACGGGTGGGAGTGGGCGCCAGGGGGCAGCCCCATGAGGACACGGAGCCCCTCTTAGCCACCAGGGACATAGTGGGTCCCCCCAAGCCTGCCAGGCTCCCGTGTTAAGCATCAGGGCCGCTGCCACTGCTGGCGGCTGTAGGCGGCCTGAGCTCCCAGGCAGTGGCCCCACTGTCGGTTCGTGGGGACCCTGGAGGGGCACACACAGGCAAGAGCCGAAACAATCTCCACTCACTTGTCCCACTCCAGGACGCCTCAGGCCGTGGCCAGCCTGTCACCCCCGCAGAAGCAGGCGGAGCTGCCGGGCTGCCACCAGCCTTAGTGCAGTGCCACGAGATGCACGCTCACCACACCCATGCCAGAGCCTGGGAGCCGGCTCCCGCCTGGCCACCGCGTGCACATGCACACACATCTGCAGCCAACTAGGCTCAGGAAGAGGCACAGAATCGCGGGGCAGGTGCCCGCCCCTGGCAGCCCTGGGAAAGCAAGTCAGAGCAAGGGTGGGGTGGTTTCACCCTGTCATGTGGAGACTGGCCCTGGACAACTGTGCTGTAGACTTTAGAAACCCAGGAAGTTGAGATCTGAAGACCGTGGTTCAAAGCCAGGCTCAGTAAGAAAGGCCCTACAAGACTCATACCTAAAAAAAAAAAAGGTAGAAGTGGTGTTGTGGCTCAAGTGGTAGAGTGAGTGCTAGCCTTGAGCAGAGTTCAAGCTGTCAGCACCAGCAAAACAGCTTCTCTACCTGAGCCTGTCTCACTCCAGCACACAGACAGTGAGCGGATGAAGGAAACGTGGCCCGTTCGTGCCGTGGAACATCTGACCCGAAGAAGGAACAAAATACATGACAGGCTGGACCCAGGCCCCGCAGCGCATGCCTGTCATCCCAGCGTCTCGGGAAGCTGAGATCTGAAGATCATAGTTCAAAGCCAGTCCAGTTAGCAAAGACTTGAGGCTCTGATTTCTAGTTCAGTACTATTAGAGAAAAAACAAAACACCACATCACACCACAGCTGAGGAACAGCACCCAGGCCCTGAATTCAAGCCCCAGAACCCACGCACAGTCACAACACACAAACCCTGGAAAACGTGGAGCTAAGTGGAAGGCCAAACATGGCATCCAGCAGCACACCACGCGCCTGTGTGAACCGTGGGCACAGGCGGAGGAGCGCTGCTCTGGGACGGGTAAGGCTGTGCACGCGCTGTCCCGGGCAGGGTGTCTGGCAGCACTAGCATTAGACCTCGGGGCTTTGCGAGAAAGGCACTGTTCGGGCTGGCTGGGGGATAAAGTGCTTTCACGGTGGTGGTGGTACTGAACCCAACTTTGAACTTAAGAGCTTCATGCTGGCTAGGTGATCTGCTACTTGAGCCACACTGCCAGCCCCGGCCATTTCCGAGGTAGGTCTTGCTTCCCGCAGAGGTCACGGAGGTCACCTTCGCTGTGTCCCTGGGTGTGGCAGGGTGTGGCACAGCACTTGGCCACTGGTAGAGACGGCGTCCCGAGAGTCCCTTCTGCCTGGACCAGCCTTAGACCTCCAGCCGGATCCTCCAGTTTCTACTTCCAAGTGCAAGCGCTGGAGCATTGCATAGTGGAAAAAGATCGAAGACCAGGGAATGCCCCAAGCCACATACTGCCGTCCACAGCTGGTGGGCAGGGCGCCCTGGAGGATGAATGCAGATGCCGGCATGCGCAGGCATGCGCAGGCCACCGATTCCTCGATTACCCAGCGCAGGCCTTCCAGCCGGGGCCTGGCTGTGCCAGGGTGGCGCCATCCGCCACTTCCGCAGCCGGGGGAGGGACGTGGAGAGCGGGCCCCAGAAAGGAAACCAGGCAGAGGAAGCACCTCCCCCCAGCCCAGTGGGGACAAGTGAGACCTTCCTGTGCACCCCATTTCCTCCTCTTCCTCTGCGTTCAGAGCAGACGGGGGATTTCCACAGCCTGCCCGGCCCCTGGGGCAGCCAGCGCCCCCGTGGGCTGTGCGGTAGCCTGCCCGACATCAGCTGGGCGGGGGGGGGGCGCACCCCAGCCCAGGGCAGCACCCACTGCCAGACCCGAAGCCTTGCCCAGGCCCTGGCATCTAGCCAGCCACAGGGAAACTGAGGCTCAGAGAAGCAGATGTCTTGCCCCAAGTGCCACTGCACAGATGAGAGCTCCCGCCTGCGGTGCCGTCCTGACCTCACGCCAGCGATGCCAGCAGCACCCCAACACAGTATTTGTTTTTTGTCGGTCGTGGGCCTGGAACTCTGGGCCTGGGCGCTGTCCCCCAGCTCTTCGGCTCAAGGCGAGCGCTCTACCACTTGAGCCACAGCGTGGCTTCTGGCTTTTTCTACTTACGTGGTGCTGAGGAATCGAGCGCTCTACCGCGGAGCCACCTGCCCAGCCCTGGTTTGTTGGTGTGTTTTTTAATTTTTTTGCCAGTTCTTGGCTGAGCTCAGGGCTGGGCACTGTCCCTCAGCATTTTTGCTCAAACCTGGTGCCCTACCACTTGAGCCACAGCTCCACTTCCAGCTTTTTAGCAAACTGGAAGTAAGAGCCTCCCGGACTTTGCTGCCTGAGCTGCTTTGGGTGATCGCAGGACTCATCCTCCCGAGAGGCAGGGTTACAGGCAGAGCCGCCAGCGCCCTGCTTCCCCAGACACAGCCTCAAATGCACAAGGTGGCAGCAGCAGGTGCGAGGCGGGCGGGGCACAGGCCCGCGCGGGCTCCACCATGCCCTGCGGCCGGGCTTTCTGCGCAGCAATGCACTTTTGAAGAGCAGCTTTGGAGAGAACCCCTAGAAAGGGCAGCACGGGGCACAGGAGTCCTGCTCACCCCCTTTCCTTCCTTCTACCAACCCCGCAGGCCCTGCGGGGCCGGGCAGCGGGGCGGCGCCTCACATCCGCTCTCCCACCCCCGCGGCGTCCGTGCAGCACTCTGCGGGGTGGGCCCCGCCATGGAAAGCAGCAGGCCAGCGCGGGGGCCACAGCAGCCCGAGCCCGTGGAGAGCGAGGGCTGCCGCCCTGCGGTCCGGTCCCCTGCCCTGGCTTCCTGCCGCCTCGGGAGGAAGCGTGCCCGCTTCCTCTTTCCCAGTGGCCCAGCCGGCCTCCCTGCCTTTGTTTCCTGGGTTGCACAGCAACCACACGCACGCTCGGCAGGGCGGGACACGGGGCTCCGCAGCCCTGCAGCTGCGCGACGTGGCCGAGAGCTTAGACCCCGTGCGGGGGCGCGGCGCGGCCCCAGCGCCTGTGCGGCTGCGAGTGCTCGCCGGGACCAGGAGTGCAGCAGCCTTGGGCAGTTGAGAGGTGAACTTGAACTCTCAGCACCCCGGGCCCTGCTCAGCCCAGTCTGTGGAGCCAAGCTCTCTAGGAATTGAGCCACTGCCAACTGTCCACCTGATGCAGGAGGCCACAGGTGGCTCCAGAACTTTCCTCTGATCTACTGCCTCCACTTGTGATGTGACACTTGTCCTCTCTGACCAACCCGCACCAACCCCACCGCAGGGCCTTTGCACCTGCCAGTCCTCCACTCAGAAACCTCAGGACTGACCCTTCCTGACCACGCCCCCGGGGGGAGTGGTCTCCCCACTCTTCCAAAGGCCCGGGCTGGGGAAGGGGCCGAGCCAGCTCCTACCCGCCTGCAGAGGTGCCACTGAAACCCCAAAGCCCACGGCTTCTATACCTGTGCAGGCCGCAGCACCTCCCACCACGGCCTCGTGGGGCTGGGGGGGGCAGCAGCGGGCAGCGGCTGCTCTTCCCAGCCAAGCCAGCCCGCTGCAGCCCCACGCCACGCGTGTGGGCAGAGGTGCAGGCCGCTGCTGCTGAGTTAGTAGGGCGGACCCAACCCTGGCCCACGAGGTGGAGAGCCGTCCTCGCGTGCTGGGACTGCGCAGGGCCCAGGCCTCCCTCGGCCACCTGCGTCTCGGCGCATCCTCCAGCCTGACCAGCACACTGGGTTTGCCCATCCTGCCCTCAAACCAGGCAAGCATCAGAGCGGGGCTGCGCACCCCGACCCCACGCAGGGGGGTGCACCCCAGCAGGGGAAGACAGAGTTTGCGCTCCTGAATCCAAGTCCACACAGCTCCTCCGGCCAACAAGAGCACTCAGGACCCTCCGAAAAGCCAGGCCCTCGTATCCCACGCCTGTCATCCTAGCTACTCAGGAGGCTTGAGATCTGAGGATCACAGTTCAAAGCCAGCCCAGGCAGGAAATGCCATGAGACTCTGATCTCCAGTGAAACCACCAGAAAACCGGAAGAGGCACTGTGGCTCAAGTGGTAGAGCACTCGCCTTGAGCTGAAGAGCTGAGGGACAGCGTCCAGACCCAGAGTTCAGGCCCCACAACTGACCCAAGAAAAGGAAAAATGACAACAGTACAAAACAAAAAACCTCTATTGTGGAAAATGAGGTGAGAAATAACATAAAATGTACAGGAGAGGGCTGGGAAGGTGGCTCAGTGGTAGAGTGCTTGCCTTGCATGCATGAGGCCCTGGGTTCCATTCCTCAGCACCACATACACAGAAAAAAACCTGAAGTGGTTCTCTGGCTCAAGTGATAAAAGTGCTAGCCTTGAGCAAAAGCAGCTCAGGGACAGTGCTCAGGCCTTGAGTTCAAGCCCCAGGACTGGCAAAAAAAAAAAAGTCTGGAGGTGTCTCAAGTGGTAGAGCACCAGCTGTGAGCAGGAAAGCTAAGTAAGTGAAAGACCCTGAGTTCAAGCCCTTTTACTGCTGGCAGAGAGAAAGAGGTGAAGGTGGGGGAGGAGGGTAGAGAAGACAAAACCCAGGCACTTCACGAAACAATCAGCTGTAAACTGAGTGCAGATGGCTCACACCTGTACACCTGTAAACCTAGCTACTCGGCTGAGATTTGAGGATCTCAGTTCAAAGCCAGCTTCGGCAGAAAAGTCTGTGAAACTCTTTATCACCAATAAACCACCAGGAAAACCGGAAGTGGCGCTGTAGCTCAAATGGTAGAGCGCCAGCCTTGAGCTGAAGAGCTGAGGGACAGCGCCCAGGCCCAGAGTTCAAGGCCCACGACCAACAACAACAACAAAAAAGAATCAGCTGGCCAGGCAACGGCAGTGAGCAGAAGCTGCTCCGTCGGGCTGCTGACTACAGAGCCAGAGTCTCTAGTCACTGCCGCAGGCGACACAAAATGGTGCAACCGCTCGGGGAAATATTCAACAGGTGTTAGAGAACAGCAAAACTGAGGTCTGAACTCGGGGCCTCAAACTGAGCGGTGCTCCACCATCTCAGCCACAGCGCTTTTTGTCTTTTTAAGATGAGGTCTTGTGACCTTTGCCCGGCCAGCCGCAGACAGGGGTGCTCCGCTCAAACGCCACAAGTAGCTCACACTTCTGTAGGAGCAATCCATCCGGCTGGCTTTTCTCTAACTTTTTTTGCCTAGCAGGATCCTGATCTCCAGCTCCGCTCGCAGCCAGAGACTGGGCGGTGGAGGCAGGAGGCGGCTGGTGAGTTCTGGGACAGCCGGGGCTACACAGGAAGAGGGGGGAAAGAGTTCCAAAGGATAAACAGCCCAATTACCCATCCGGGGTGCCAGCCCCCTCGTGGAACTCCTGGTTAAGGGGCGCCCTGTACTCAGCCTGTGACCCGCGGACAGCTCGAAAGGGCCGCTTCGCCCCAGCCAAGCCCCGCTGGGGCCGGGGAGGCGGCCCAGGACCTCCGCCCGGGACGCGCACTCCTGCCCGGGCTGGGGACCGCGGTGCCCTGGCGTGACAGCCCTCGGGGAAGGGGGTGGGGTGGGCAGAGGGGAGGCCCCGCGCCTACCTTGGGCGGGTCGAAGAGCTCGAGCACG